ATTTTAAAGATTTGTGTGTATAATAAAATGATTAATGTTAAATTAATTTCTATTCTTATTCAAAAATATTTAATAAATAATATATAGTTTTGATTTTGAGTTAATCAGTTAAATTATTTCTTGATCCATATTATCTCGGCTTGGTCCGTTTTACCCCATGGGATGGTCCATTTTACCCCACCCATGGGTAAAACGGATCAAAATTAAGTTTTTAAAAATCTTAATAATAATTCAAACTTTTGCAAATTTTTAAAATTTAACATTATAATCTTATAATAAACATTCTACAGTTTCTTCATGCTAAATTTCAGTTATTTTTTGTCATTAATATAAAAAATATAGCCATTTTCGCTTAGGGGGTCCGTCTTACCCCACCTTCCCCTACACATGTATGTAATACATATTGCTATTATACTTGCACACTAGCGGATCCTGATGTCGATAATGGGGTGGAGGGGGGTTTCGACAAAATTATTTAGTTTCATATTTTTCTTGGTTTCACGCTTAACGTTGCATCGCATCACTGCTAGACGCACATATAAACTATATGGTAGGGAGGCGTGTACAGAGACGGAGGAAGCAAGCGCGCAGAATGGAAGAACAGGTTCCTGAAAACTGAGAGGCTGAGAGTTTGATCAACAGGTGCCTCCGCGTCGATAGGCCTGCTTTAACATTTAATGCATTCTTTTTACCAAGATTTTTGAAACAGATCCAGCAAAATTGATTTCTTTTAACTTGGAAGGGGAAGTGGGGGGGGGGTAACCCCAGGATCCGCCAGTGTACTTACATCATTTAATAAAAATATAAATAGTACCATAAAAATGATAATTTATTCAACACACTCGATTCTTTGCAGTGGCTGCTAATATATTAATGACGCTTAAATTTCAATTAAGTTCAGGTTGCAAGATGTTGGACGTACCTGCACGTTACAAGCACATATTTTGAGGCCTCATAAATATAATTTATCTTTTATTTTGACAAAGTTTCTTATGCATAAAGTTTATTATGATAAATAGATATGGGTTAGTCTTTAAAAATAAATAAATTTGTTTTTGGCTACGTGAAACTTTTTCGAATGCAAGGCTAATTTCCTCAGAAATATTAACTTCATGCCCAAAGTATCAATTTGCCACCGGCTCTTTGTATTATACCTATCATATTGCACTGCCCCGTGTTTTATCCTTAACAATAAGCTATCAGGTCCAGCGTAGCGAAGAAATATCTAATATTTTTATCGCTTGTAAATAAACATTGATCTTTGAAATTGGAATAAATTGGAATATAAATAATTCCTCTATTTCATGTAACTTACGTACTAAAATCAAGATAAAACAGGTACGCGTAAGTAGTTGCATATCTTATTTGTCGAAACACAACTAATGAAATCACGATATGGTCATAAAGGATCTCCCTTTCAATCATAACGCGAATGGCAAGATATTACAACCATAGTATTAAACTATTTACCATAATATTAAATTATTTGAGTATCTGCGGAGATGATTTTCGATCGAGAGACAGCTCTGTTAAGGTAAATAGCCCAATCCAGCTTCGAGACTGATCGAGCTTTTTATACTCGACGCGTTACTGGTCTTCCTCGAGATTCGATTGTTCTCCCCCGCACCGAAAACCGCGGCGATCTCTGCGCTTTTTTTAATGGAGAGCGCTTCGTGATGTGCCGCGGGTCTGGCGCTACCACGGGAGGAATACTTCTTGTCCCGTTCCGCGCCACCGACGTAAACCAAACGGCCCTGGGTGTCCCTGGCGCTGACTACGAGGACTTTCTCGCTGCCGGACGACTGCTGAGATCTTCTCCCTGGGCTGAAGAGATCGTAATCTAAGGCCAAGTTATCCGAACTACCGCAATTCGGTGATGATCGAGTCTGCAGTGGAATTCGGTGCAAACGGATTTTAATGCAACCGTGATATTGGAATAAAATTAACGATGAACGAGGAAAATATTTTGATGACCTACCTTGAGAAAATCGGTGCTGCGCGACGAACTGTGACTACCGGTCATTCTCGAGCCTCTGATCCTCTCGGGGCTGTCCCCTCTGCTGAGCGTGCTCTCCGACGGCACGATCCCCTTCTGCCTGAGCTGCTCCAGTATAGTCGGCTGTATCGGCTTCCTCGCGCAATAACATTTATTGCTCTCCGAGCAACTATCGGTGTCACAGGCGCAAACGACCGTGTTTCCGGGTACAGGTGTGGCCGGAACTCTTCTGGACAACGAGCAATAACACTTGTCCGCCGACACACATGTGCAGGACTCGGAGTCGTAACTGCATTCGCTGCAGCTCACGTAACCGCTGCTGCTTCTGTTTGCAGTGGCACCCATGCTGCGACTCAGTCGTCTGCCTAATAGTAATATAATTTTATATTTAATATATAATAACATAACAAGATTTTGCAATATAATACTATATATATATATATACTATTTTTTTATTTATTTACTTATAGTTCAAGTAGTAAAAAGAAATATTAAAATGTAATTACTATTTAGATTCAATTGATTGACTTGGAATTTTTAATACTTCTATACATACATGTATCGCTGTCTTCCGAGGTCGTGTGGCAAGGACCATTCTTACTCGCTCGCCACGAGGACTTTCGCCTACTGAGTCTACTCGCCAGTACTCGATTCCGATGATTATTCCTGACATCGCACGACGAGCTGCTGCCGAAGCTGTCGTTCAGCCTCCTCGCCGGGAATATCACGGAGGTGAATTCCGTGGGTCCACCCTTCAGCCTCGACACCGATCGCTTGATAGCTCTGCCAAGTAGACAAGATCGACGACTCGACCGCCGTCTCTGCGGTCTTCGACGTCTTCTCATGATACTGGCGGATCTCTGATACAATTCGTCCTGCGTCAGAGTCGCTGCCAGTTTCAGTAAGAATTCCTTGTAGAGCGGCTTCAGGTCGTTGAACGACATGCCTTCCGGATCTGAAATATTTAATTTATTAAGTTTTAATCAAACTGCGCTCTACTCGATAGAAAAGATAGACAAATTTATTTAAAAAAATCCTAAATTGCTCGTTACACAACTCAATATTATCTTCGATTACCTATGATAGCCGCCAAAATATCGTCAACGCTCGTCAAGCCCTCCTGATTCCTGAACTCGTCGAACAGTTCGGTGAATCCCAGTGGAGTGCCGTTTTTGATGTTATTAGGTCTGCGGGTGTTCCCGGTTGTCAGGAAGCTGCCTCTCCTCGGCAGCTCTACTCTCGTCATCAGATCTCCTCTGTCCACGTCTATGTCACTCTGCGATCTCTTCAGCGTGTTTTCCTGCAGAATCTTGTTCGCGTGCTGCGAATGACTGACGGGCGGCGCGCTGCCCGCTCTGCTCCTTCTTCTCACTCGCGGACGATTGTACTCCGGCATGTTCGGCGAGTAATCGGACTGTTCCTTCCGCAGCGGTTTGTCCATCGTGACGACTCTGCTGAGCCTCTTGCTGGAGTGCACCCTCTCTGGATTTCTCGAGCGCCTTTGCTGCTCCACCGCGCTCTCCTGATGCGGTAGATAATGCCCTCTGTTCTTCAAGTTCTTCGCGAAAAAGACGTCTTCCTGGCGGCTTTTCATCTGGCTGCTTCTGTTACTTTTGCTCGTGTAAGTGTCCTCCTCTCCGATACTCTGGATCTTGTCGGCGTCTTCAATGCGCGGGCTGTAATAGTTCTCCTTCTTCCTGCCGGCTTGCTCGTGAGCAGACTTCGTCTCGTTTCTTCTAGTCTTGTCGACCTTATCATACACTAAGATTTCGTCAGTTTTGGAGCAGTACATTTGTCGTTCGCAAATGTCATTTCCAGCTTGACTCAAGTCGTACGATCCATAATCTTTTTCGTAAATGTCATCCTTCGGATTTGCCGGTTCCTTCTTCTGCTTGTACACCTTTTCGTACTTGTTCGACTGTCTCTCGTAAATTCTGCTCGCATCATTATCGCGAACGTTGTAAATCCTTTCGGCCTTACTATTCCTTTCGGACTCGATCTCGATACGCAAGGAGTTCTGGTCTTTAGCGGAGAACATCTTGTTCTTCGTATTTTGCAATTTCTCACTCCTCGACAATGCGACATTTCGATTGTTCTGCCCTTGATTGCTCTTCTCAGCCTTGCTGTTATCCCGTTGTCTTCTGCCGCGCGCTTCAAGGATGTCTTCCGCTTTTATGTCGGAATTTTTCTTCTTCCTACGCGGCATTTTTTGTAAACTAGGTTTTCCACCTTCGTCCTCGGTGACGGAGCTGCTCATTGAGCTCTTCTTGGTTCTGGGCGGTCTCACAGGATGCGGCGCGCTCGGTCTGGGTGGCGGAGGCAGCAAGCAGCTGATCCTGCTGCTGAGACTGGGCTCTCGGACGCTGGAAGCAACGGATGCCAAGCTGATGCAACCGACACCGTTCGCCTGACGAGGTCGCCGACGATTCGCATCCATGTCCGCGAGAAGAGCGCGATATAACGTGGCCGCGGCTGCCACGGCGTCCTCCTCGCATTCGCAAGCGAACGCGTGACACTCCAAAACCCTGGCAGCCCCGGGGCGTCGCATCACTACGGCGAAGATTGGAGGGTAGCACTCTGCCTCACTTTTCAAGCCGCGCATTGTCCTAAAATTAAGAATTAATATTCTATCTGTGGAATCCCATTTCTTAATTCACCGTTGAATATGCATTTTAATTGAGAGATAAAATTTTCTAAAATGAATAATATAATTCTATTTTATAGAGAAGAAAAATTAATTACAGATTATTCAATTATTAAGATTTCTTCACATTTATTATATTTATTTTGTCAATTTCGAAGCTTTGTGTACAATTTACGCTGTCACTAAAAGTGGCTGTATTTAAAAAAAATGATAACTTTGTGGTTTATGTTTATTAGAATTTTTTTATTAGAGTCTCGAGATGTGTGAAATGCGCTTGGAAATTTTACAGTAATGTCACTCGCCTGTAGAGATCGGCATGTTTATCTTCCAGCGTCTGTCCTTGGTCCTGATCGCCAACTAAGGGTAGGAAGGCGTGATGCACGTCGCCCGATGGTATTTTCTTACATCGAAGCCTCAGGGCGCTCCAGACCGCTATTCTACGGAAGGGATTATTCTTCTCGCAGACGTCGCTCGTGCGGAACGTCAGTCCGCGTCTGGAGACTTCCAGTTCGGCCATTACGCACCCTTCCACGCGCTCCAACAACTGACGAAGGGGTTCCTGAAGACCTCGCACGCTCGCCACTCGCCCGCCGACCGGAGCAGCACCCATGTATTTGACCTACGCGAAAGCACGAAATATGTACTTTTATTTTCGTAAAAAAATGTATTCTAGCAGAGCAAGCAATTGAATATACCGCAATGCAATTAGTCTGACTGGAACATGTTATATTTTATAAGCATGAAACGATCAACGAGAATGACTATATACTTTGCATACAATTCTTTGCATTCTTTTTATTTGGGACAACATTGAAGAAGATTGACACGAGCAAAACTAGCGCTTGATAAAAAGTTTCAAGTTTCATTTCTTTTTTTTTTGCGTGGAAATCTGTTTTGCATGACGAGCAATTGAAAGACAAACAGGCGGGATCGTTGTATGAAAACTTTATCGCGCATTTTGCACACGATAAATTCTAAAACTAGTCCTGCTGAGCGAGGAATTTTGCCGCGTCACCGTTTTCATGTTCACTGCTTTAGTATCTATTTTATGAAATTTATATTAAATAAAATTCGAGTCATGTGTTTAATACGGGATGTCATTCTTCCGATGAAATAACGGATTTTATCTCTCTCTATATCATAATCGTGTGTAAAATACATATAACACTTCAAGTTACATGCAAAAAAGTATAAATTCCTCTCGTAGCATGCTGCGACATGGCGAATGCAATTTTACAATGCGCGGATCAATAGATTATCGAATTAATGCATTGAAATAATATTATTCCTCGAAAAATGCGTTCAATAAATGTATTTGTGATTAATATAAATTTTATTGATACAGTCAGTTGTAAGATTTTAGTCCGTAATATGTTACACGAATTTATTGCAAAATTTGTGATAGGAGAATGCGTCTAACAGGAGAATGTGAAAAAGACAAAAAAGTCAATGCCCGATCCAAGAAACACCTGCGAAGGTATGATCAATTGCCACGCCTAGGCAAGTTTTCTTGCCGGATGATGTAATCCTATCGATCGATCGGCAGCTTCTTTCGTTCCAGCTCCAATCAAAGTGCGCGAAGCGAGACGAAACAATGCGGCTGGGCCCGAAGCCCATAAAACAGGATACCGTGTCGGCGAAGGAATCCGCATACCGGCGCAACAACTGAAGGAGAATTTTTCAGCGCTCCGAATAGTTTGTAGAAGTCTGTCACGCTTCGCGGATCGTGAGCGGAATGAAAGTGACGATTAAAAATTCCGGATCGACGCCCCGGAGGAAAGTCGAAGGACTTCTCGCGTCCCTTCTTCTCGAATCGCGGCACGTCTGCGACGCAATGGCATTGTGATTTTGCAATACGCGGCTACGCATACCGAATGTAAAATAGATCATCAAATTTATGTATTGAAATACCTAAGGTATTCGCTCCTCGAGAAATCCATTAAATATGAGTGTTTTGTGGCTGATGTGATAGAAATACGATTAATATGATATGATCAGTCATTTGGTTTAATATACAGATTTATTGCAAAATTTTACTTTTACGATTTTGAAATTACACAAACTTTGTTGGTCATCTAAATAATATCTTTCTACATTGCAATTTCTTTATAATTAACGCGCGTTGTCAAAATGTTTATTTTGTCTATTAGATGTACTTTTATCGCTCATAATACCAATTAAAGCGATATTATCAGCTTAATACGCCAACTAATTAACACGGCAGACAAATTTAACGCCACCACCCGAAACCACCAAAGGGTTTGATACCATCTGAGAAGTTAGGTATAAGAAAACTGCAATATATAATTTGCTTTCTCTCTTGATTTTTAAAAACATTTATATTCTACTCCTTAGAAGATAATCGCGCGATTCTTTCCTTTCTAACGAGCAACCAGCTCGCTGGTAATTATACGTCGATCTCAATTTTATTTCTGACACGTAATCGCCGCGCACATCTTCAGGATGATTTACGGGTAATTCTTGAGGCAGAAAATGGATACCATTCAACGTGCTTCTTTTCTTAAAGCTTTTCGCCAAATCTCAAATCTCGTCTTGTCTCAATCACTTGAAAAATAAATTGAGTCGAATAAGATCGGTGAAAGACAGAACCGCGAAGTAATCAACGGATATATTTAATTATTCGATTAATCATGGAAGATAAAAGTACAGCTATATCAGATCATGTTTCTGCCTGACGGAAAAGCTGGGTCACTTGAGTAAAAATGTTTTTCGCATCTAACAATTCCCGCGTTTTATGTCCTCGCATAAACCTTTCATTAAATCCCGACGTTCTTTTCCGCAGAATTTCTTGACCGCTTTAATTTTGACGTTAAAATATCTGATTCAAGTGCACTTAAGGGTCACGTTCGTTGGCGAAGTAGGTGAGTCTCTCGTTGCGGTACTCGGGCGTCCCTCGAGAGTGGAACGGAACAGACCGCTCGGCCACGCCGATCTGTGCAATTTTTCAAGCGCGAGAAACGCACAATAGAATTAACATAAGTGAAAATTCGTGCGCACGTGTTCCCGCTGTGTGATACTCATGTTCCGAGTCCTCGGACATAAATCCGGTAACTCGGAATAAAAAAAAAAAAAAGAACAGCACGTACGGATCGCGAGTGCTCCACGTGCGTAATTATTTGTGTCATTACCGGCAAAATAGCGGCGGCACATTCACCGGGCGTTCCACTTTCGGCCTCCACCGTGGCGAACATCGCCTCGATGCGCGCCTGAACGGCGCTGTTCACCCTCTTCTGCTCCTCGGCGCCCGTGTTGTCGAGACTTCTCGGGATCACGGCGGACAGGCCGGCGTACCATCCCACCAACGTAGAGCTGCAGATCGATCTGAAATGATCAGAACTCACACTGAATGAGACGTCGAAGAGAAATTAATCTAGATGTCTGGATACGCGCCTTTCTTCGCGCCTGAAGGATTAACATTAAAGCGGCTTAATGAATGTAATCTCACCTGCAATCTTCGAACAGTGCGTCGATCTGGGCCTTGCTCCGCAGGGAGCATTCCGACGGCGGACCACCCAACCGAAACCCATCCTCGTAGCAGGATATTCCTAAGGTTGACATGCTTTCAGCCGGACGTTACGCAACCCGTTTGATATCCTCGCGAATTTCCTTGTCTATTGTGTTGCCCGCTGGCGTCATTCGTTCTGAAACGGAAACGCACATCATTACGATAATGTCCTCGAATCGGGAGAAGGTTATTGCAGTTGATGATATAATTGACGCTATTTTATTTGTCGCCGATCGTAATCTAAGAAAACGCGGATGTGACAAATTATTGTGTGTTTGCCGATCCGCGGGAAATCGCAACCTTGCGAGAGTCAGTTAAGGTTTCCGGAAAGACCTGAAAATTAATAATGTCAGAGAAAAAGGTGTTCTCGGGTCGGCGCAGAGTTCTCCGGCTTTCGACTGGTTTCCATGAATACTTATTACTGACGTCGCGGTGCGTTAAATTTATGCGAGTGCCGTGCGGTGCGTGTATAATTAAAATTGAATCGCGGACAGGATCGGCTTTTTAAGAAGATTTCAAATAATGGGAAATTCGAGGAATAGTTTGTCGACTCGCGACAGATAAAACATTTGATACATTTTTTCGCGTGTAACGCTGCGAATTATGCAGACGCTAATCTATCGATCAAGTGGTGAAAGCTTTTTTATACCTGCAGCATTAATATTTGACGTTAACAAATAAGCATAAATAAACATAAATTAGGCTGTTAAAGAGTGCTTCGTACTCTTGCTTTGCACTGATATCAAGGTCATTAGCCCGGGAGCGAGAAATCGTAAAACACCTCATAGAAACGGTTATTCGCGAGAACACGTAGAAAAATTGCGTGCTTATCTGCTGCTTCGGATTTCACCGGCAATTCGTGAAACTCTACGCATTTCTTCATTAAGGCGGTGATGCCTGCTGCGTTTTAAATAACGCTCGAGAAAAGGATTTCGTTGTTCAGTGAAGGAACTTGCAATCAATTCGCATTTCCGGAATTTCTTTAATCAGTAAGAGCACAATGCAAATAACATTTTCAACTAACGCGAATCTAACGAGATAGTCATCAAAAGAGAAATTTTATATTGGATTGAAAGTCGAAATAAAGATGTAAAGCCGGCTTCGCGTTCGTTCGACACAAATTAGCTGTCGCATCTTAAATTACGTTGTACGACTGCTCACAGTTATACTTTACAGTTATGGACCAACTGGTTCTGGCAGCAGATTGACCGCTTCCGAAAGGTGTTAATGTCGATTAACACCTTTCGGAACGAACTTGCACATATAAATTGGAATAACTGTCAACTGCGCATTTCTCTCATTAACCCGCGAGCGCGCGTTGACCCCATGTCGTCCGCGATCATCACATGACGAAAGCGATTGCCGAACATTGCCGCTATAATTACGATTCGTTACAGATGATCGGGGCAACGGTATCGCGGATACCTCGAAAACGGAGGCTGCCTTATGATAATCATCAATAATTATCAAGGTCACTTTAATCACATGTGATCAATCGGTGCAATTAAAACGGAAGTTTTTTCTTCGTAAACAATTTTTGGCATTGAATTTTTGTTTTGATACGCTGCAAGATGTCTAACGTTGCTGCCACCATTCAGCTGATTATGTTGCGAGACCGTTCACAAGGAAACTGCCTCCTTGCTCATCGCCTGAAGCCGACCCTGAATAATCACCATCGAGCTTCTTGGTGTCAGTGACCCAGTTTCGGCTTGCACGCTACCGTAATCACCACGCGGCACCGCAAATCTACTCGATCGACATTATTAACAGTCTATGACTGTGCAGCTTTTTGAAAAATTAACATTATGAGTGACTCGCAAAAATGCGAGATTTATTAGAGTCGCGATATTAGAAAAGGCGCGCTCTGAGAAACAGAACAACCGTAAGTGATAATTTAATCGCAACCGCACTGTTCATCGACAAGACGTGTTCATCCATTTCTCCCGAGAGCGGCTCCTTGTTTTCATAACTGTTGAAGCGTTCGCGACATATTTTAAGGCAACGGTATTAAGGTCGGCGTACAGATTACGGCATCACGTGTCAGTGCGTCGTCGAGGAGAGCTAGTCGATATACGCGCCGACTTTGAACGTGTGCACCGTTCAAGTTGCAATTACCAAGTTCACGGCTCGTTTCCCGCTCGCATCTGCTTTAATGGATATCGAGCCGGTCGATAATCACATGCAGATACACGTCTCTCAAGCAGCGTCACTTCGATCGGCGACGATTTATTTTCTTAACGGTTTTACAAGGCATATTGATTCCGAGTATTTTAGAAACTTTGCAATTATTGTGGCGGAAGATTTCATTATGCATGTTTATTTAAAGCGCACATTAGTTGACGCTAGAAATTCCGATATTCAATTACGGTGAAATTTCAATCAAGAACAATCTTTGTAATTTTGCTCCCTCACGCATATCGCGTTCTTATTGGTGTTTATTATCAGAATAAAATAGAAAATTGAAATCAAAATATATGAATCACAATGTATGAAGCTAATTCAAATTCTTTTACGGAATTCTATTATCACATGTTACAATTTAAATGTTTAGGATGACAAATTTATCTTTTGCGTTATAATAAACTTAAAGAAATACTTTTGGAAATACACTTACTTGTTGTTTATCGAGTGCTCCATGTGCTCCAAAATTAAATTCCAATTTTTGGCACCACCAGTCTGACATAAATCGGTTTCAGTCGCTTGATATATTCGCACTGTCATATCACCGTCAGGTACTCGAAGAAATCTATCACGAGAATTCGTCGAACCGGAGTCATTCGCGAGAGCATGCTGCACCATGATGAGCTTCACTCATGATCGTTCGCCGATTCTCGTCCCGACGACCTTCCACGAGGATCCTCCTCTTCGCGACCGTCGACCTTGGCCGCGGCGAGTCGATCCGGATGACCGTCGACGTGAAACTGCCGGGGATGTTCCGCAGGAGAGGCTCGAGTTCTCTAGCTAGTGAGTCGGCGCCTCCGAGCCGTGGAACGAAGAGGAGGAGAGGGATGAAGATCGACGGAGAGAGAGGCCTTCTCCCGATCCGACTCGCGGCCGTCGTGAACGCGCCGGCTACTCTCTCGCAGGCCGTCCGGAAATCTCGTTCTAATAATGATATCACGCCAATAAACTAGATCGCGGCACGCCCACGACGTAGCACCTTTACCGGATAAGACGCTTTCTTCCCTCGTTATTACATCCGCTGTTACTTAAAAAGGACTTACGGTGAAATTTTTGCTCGCTGAAAGAGGCACTTAAATCATCCGAGTTCTCGCACTTTAAAATAATGAAATTATCTAATAAGAATGTAATAGTTTTGTTAGAAAGATTTTCTCTTCGTTAATTTTTATATCCGCTGTTTGTGATTTTATAAAAACTCTGACTTTGTCTTAATTGACTTTCTGTTAAAAAAAATTACTACTGTGTCGACAAAGAATATTTTCTTACATCTACGAGGTTTTACGGATTTTGTTTAATTTTACGAGGAAAAGTAAACAAAGCGAAGACTTTTTTGTTCTCCAGAACAATAAAAAATATTTCTTTATTTCGTGGCCTACATCTGAAAAAGATGTAGGCAACAGATTTTTAAACATTCCTGCATTTTTCTGATGAAATAAATTGATAATTAAAAGCGGAATTTCATATCTCACATACATCAGTTGACCGATATTCTCGTTTCGAGGTAGGTTGCCGAATGAAGAAGACCGGTAACATGGAAGAGGATTGGTCGAGAACGGAAGAGCGGGAGAGAAAAACAACAACCGAAATGATGGGCGGTCGGGTGGTCCCATAACGTCGTCCCAATCTTCCGATTACCAATGGCATTGGCAGCCGGTGCGCTCGTTGCGTCGTAACCGGTAACGGTACCGCGCTTCGACGGCGGCGTTCACCGGACGGCCGCACCAATGTGAGAGTACTGTTATTTCAACTATGCAGACTGTTCGTTCTTTTACCATCTATTCTTCTTCGACAATCTCTTGGCTTTTACGTCTGTCGTTATTTTACAATTTGCTAAATTGCTATTTTAATTTGCTCTTATATTGAAAGTCAGATAAACATTTTACATAATTTAAAGCATTAAATTGGAAGGAGTCGTTTTAAAAAATAAAAACTTTTCCCAAAAATGTATAAAATGTAACACTTCACAGATTTTCGAAACACATCCAATTTGGTGCTCGCGTTAACCCATCAATTTACTTTCTTTTATTTTTAGTAAGAGTTCAGAATTTTCTACATAAATTAATAAATAAATAATTGAATAAATTATATTTTTTTAATAATAGAAATTTACTGTTTTGTAACTTAATTTACTTTCGAAATAACGTGTTTAAAAAAACGGTATTGAATTTTTAAAGACAGTGAACAAGTGCGCGAGTTATAAGTTTATCAATTACAGCACAAATCGATGTAAATGAGCAAAGATTGATAAGAGCGTTCGAATAGAATCTTATGCCTCGTTACACATAATTTATGTCGCAATTTACTTTCGTTCGCGTATTGTTAGCCGCTGCAACGCCCGTGGATGAACACACCGCCATTAACTTATGGCTAATGGTGAGAAAGTCGAACTTTAGAGATGCCGCTTGCTTATGCCGTGCATTATCTTCGTTTCATCCGCATTACAAAATTGCAGGCTATTACTAAAGCGTTCGCGCAAGTAAGTTGGTATTAACGTATCGTGATGCTTTTTAATGTAAGACGCGTAATATATTAATCTCAATGCTGCAGATATTTTTTGCGCAATTAATTGTGTCATTAATAAAACATAGAAGAAATTCTAACTGTTCGCGGTGGACCGGCGTATCCTTCTCGACCAGAAAATTTATAAAATGTGCCACGAAGAACGTTTCCGTCAGGATCGATAGAGACCCGTTAGAGATAGACCTAACATAATAACCGTCGGTTTTATGCATCGCGCGATTACGGCCTGCGTTTCATAGGTATCGTCCGGTCAACGACAGGTGGCATATGCCTTGTAGCTGCAAAATGTTTTGCCTTAGCGGAAAGCCACGGCGGCTGCCAATTTCTCACAAAGGCAATCGTGCATCTGCCGTTCATCTCAAGATCGCTCGAATGCTGTACTTAAACTAGATATGTCCGATTAGACGACATGCCATCGTAATGCCGTTGCGCTGTTATAACAGTAATATATTTCGCAAAATCCAGTTTATTTCACTTGTTGATTTGTTCTGTCTGTCGACTGCGTCTTATTTCTTGTCATACATATGTATATTGCGAATCGGTATGTTGAATCGATTAACCATTTATTAAGAGCAACAGAATATTGAACCGAAATCTGAGATCTTTACGACAAATGTAAATTAGTTTTTTTCTCAGATAAACGTTATTAAATTGCGTTTGAGTGGGGAATGTACATATCATGGTTCAATGTTCTTTAATCTTTCTGAGAATTAAATTTCAAGCTTCCGGTATGAAACCATTGGAAGTCTTCACTGTGATTACATAAGACTTTTAAAATTGCTTAAAAAGATTCATCTTTAGCGGAAGTATTGGCGACTCTCAATTTGTCACACAGGCAGGTTTCACAGCTGTTACTTCGTCTCTTCCCGGCGTTGAGTTCCGTGTTTAAATGCCGCTTCTCTGGTAACTGATTATACCGTTCTTAATTTACAATCGCACGTTATTTTTTTATATAGATATTACAAGTATGAATTTAAACATTTATAGCAAGAAATAATTTTACTATTAAAAATTTGCAAGAATTATTATTTTAATATATCATTACAGTTAGGATAAAAATATAAACATATTGAAGTATCAAATTATAAATTATTGTTTAAAAAAATAGGCATTTTTTCCAGATATATATAAAGAAATTTTACAAGTTTAAAGATATACAATAAATATAACAAATGTAGGCAGTCGACTTTAAAAGTCGCATTCTGACGTGCTTACCACGCATTGAAATCACCAAATATGCTCTCTCCGAATGATGTAGCTTCTGACATCTACCGACGAGCGCACCAAAGTATCACTTCTTCGTGGAAAGTAAATCAGGTCTCAGGTTGCTCGAACAAGGCCACTAGACATTTCGGGCACGACACAGCTCGCATATTAATTCACTCGCTGTGCCATTATTACCATGCAACCGCCCTGACGACAAAATGGTCCTCTGTACTTTGCTTCGGTATTCATGTATTCCTCACCTCTTCTCTTACATTTGTTACGAATCTCTTCCCCCTCTGTAATCTTTTTTGCCGATACACCCTCCTATTCGTACACTGCTCTTACTCTGGATTTATAGCCGCCGCAGTCTGCGTGATGCAATTACACAGTCTGCTTCCTTCGAAAAGGAACGTTCGATGGATCCATTGTCACCGTCCAAGACAAACAGAAACTAAGAAGTATAAGTTTGCAAAGATAACTGAATATTAAATAATTTTTTTACACAAATAAATTAAAGTAAAATAACAACATCACATTTATTGTCAATTAATTATTATATTTTTGATGACAGATCTTTGCTGAACTACCAAGAATTTTTTTGGTTGGAAATGTATTTTTATAGTAACGTTATATAAGTACGTGTAAAGAAAATATATATAAACTGCATTCACGCGTGAAATATTTAGCGATTTCGTAGATAACCACAATTATAGGAATGACACTAGAAATTAATTGCTGCGCATAGCTAAGTATTACGTCAGCTACTTTGCTCGAGAAACTGCTATTCATTCGTTACACTGGCACCTTCCGTTAGGAATTAATTTTGCACGAGATATTAGTGTTTAATAATCGGTCAACGGGAGTTAAATGAATTATGCCGACGCAATATGCGGTATGGACAGATTATTAAAAACTAATTTCATCTCTGACCCGATTTCTTTACGCGCGTACGCTCGTAGTCGAGTGTAAGCGACTAACTGTAAATTGCGGAACTACCTTCTAACTGTAATTCGAGCTTTTAGTTCGAGCTCGCGAAAGGCTATATTACGTTATCGTAGGAATTTAAGAATGTTAAGGTCGCATACTGATTCGTAATCAACAACCGTGAAGGCCGTTGAGTACAATATCGCCTGATATTAAAATTTGCAATGTATTAATCGTAAAATTTCGTAGTAGCATCATTATGTCTATTTCTTATCCATAAAAAAACTTATGTATCTAAAATATATTATTTGTTCCTGTGAAAATAAAAATAAAGTAAAATTTTTAAAAATTTAAATAACGTTGATTTCTATTTGCAGGATAAGTAGGAGTAATTTAAACGAGTTGATGCAAGGAATCGGTATAAAATATTAAGGGGCTTATTTTGTACAGTTAATGATATTTATTTGTTGCGATAAAACGCGTGTACAATATATTCACATGCGTATTTCTCTTTATAACATTAATCTAGGTATGCGCACACGCGGAAATCAGCCAGCGGTGTAATTACGCGCACTTTCGTCGCGAAGGAAAAAGCGCGTCCCCGCGCGGCTTGCGCAACGCGTCGCGTATTTTCGCATTTTCTCCCGAGACGGGAGAATAATCTATCCTCATTCCTCGCCAGTTGCCGGGGCGTTCCGCGTGTGCGTATCGTACCGTGTTACATGTGGAAACTATATGCAGTTATAAATGTAATGAGTCTTCTTTCGCATTCTCGATGGCACGTTCCTATCAGTGCTCGTCTCAGACGCGAGGATTAATAATTAATGAACAGGCGCAATCTCCAGCCTTTAAATAGACTGTCGCGTTCCTGGATGCACTCACGGTCACATACGTATACGCATACACACTAATTATAGAATATTGATTATCGTATCGATGAAGCGATGACTTGTGCCTTACTGCACGAAGAAACTATGCAATTTTTCCATGTCGCTGTGAAAAGTTGCAAGGTCGTGGAGTAGCGCACCGGCATCCGGATGCCATTAGCATTCCTTCGAGAATGCGTTTCGTCCCCCTTATCTTGCACCGTTCTTCCGGCGGTTGTTGTACTCGCGCATCGGTTACCAACCGGCGGAAGGGCGATAAGAAGCGAAGAGAGGAACGAGAGAGGCACTATTCTCGGACACGCGCTTGTACCGCTATGCGTGTCCTCTTACGCGATCGACTGGTAACGTGGCTTGTCACGTATTTTAAAGCCTAGACACAATGAAGTATATGAGTAATATGCAATTACGGACAACAATGCAAATGTAACACAAAAAAATCGTCATAATTAAAATAGTTATTTTAAATCTATCAATTGTCGCCGATATGGTTAAATTACTCTCTCTCTCTCTCTCTCTCTCTCTTTTTGATTTCTTGTACTTATACGTTCTTCATTGTGACTTTTAAGTCAGCCCCAAATCAGCTCATTTACCAAATGATAAGTGTAAGTGGGTTTCAATATATTACCACACACATGTTTAGTACAATGTTACATTGGGTCAGTTTAATAATATTTGGCATACGAACGTATCTAGAACCGACTTTATGGAAGACGATTGATGATTGTCCGAAGATACAGAGCGATTAAATCGAAAGATATATAGTTACGATATATATCTAGCGCTATAATTATACCTACGATACTGTTCGTAGCCTTTAAGCTATTTATAGCGCCGCTTATTATATTCTATTTATAATTTACAATTACAAATTGTAAGTCGCCAGCCGTCTCTCTCGTAAGACGTTTTATTATCCTACATGTATATAAGTACACAATGGCTGTATCCTGGCGAGAAAACGCTAGAATGAGCGGGCTTGGAAGAACCCGTTGGTATATTATTACATTCCCAACTCGGTGGAAAGTTCAAGAGCGTAAAACTTTTTAGTTCTATTTAAGAAATTATTAACTATCCTTGAAAAAGAAATTACATGATCCTCTTTGTACAATACGACAGGGGAGAAAACGTACAATATAATGAGAAATTTTTCACTATCTTATCCTTTTCATTTTAACAAGCTAAATCTTCTTGCCATGTGGCGAACAGACAAATTAACTTTAATGTTCTTTCACCGACGCATTTCCTTTCTTTTTTTTTTTTGGAAAATTTGTCACGGTCTAATAATGCAGTAATTTTTTACATGGACACAATATTGCACACTTTCCACACTTTCATGAAGAACGTCTAAGTTTTAAATTCAACTTTCGACTCGTTTCGGAAATAATAGACTTCGTCGAAAAGCCCTTTTATTGCGCGGAAAGAGCGCGCGCTCTGCTTAAGGTACCAATCAAGGCGATTTGCATTTCACCGGTTGTTTGTTGCAATCCTAAAACTAGAGTATCGCGTACGACGGTTGCGGTTAACCCTGAAAATTACACGGGGGAACGGAATGTGGCCGACGACGACGACGACGACGAGGAGGTTCGCGTGCATAGTGCATATAATACAGCGTATGCACCGTAAGTGAAATAATGCGTCTCGTGTCCGGGCAACCGTAATATTCGACATCGAAATTCGCCTTAGGATTGTACTGTTAATCTATACGGGAAGTCCGTCGTTACAGAAAAAAAAATATCAGTAAAACATTCTGCATTCTATGAGTCAGAGAATGTTTTGCTGGGATCTTAATAAAATAAAGATTTCGTTTGCGTTTCGCAAAAGATTCATAATTAATTAAATGTATCTTTCCTCGTCTTTTTCCTTATATTTCGCAAGAATCGAGACATCGCCCGATGTTTATTGCGCAACCAAATGGCATGTTTAATTAATTATTTTTGTGACTGATTTACTTGGTAAATATACATGTATAGATATGATGTATCTGTATTCGTATTGGACACTCGCGTACGTGTTGCGGTCGGCTCATCAATATTTTACATTCACTTTCTACTTCAGTAACAGTAGCTGCAGCGATATAATGCTAGCCATAATCAATGTACATTTTTATCAGGCGTCTCAAAATTGACTGAGTGCCTGGGAAGAGCGCAGTAAAAAAAAAAACCGAGGGAATTACGATATCGCGTAGCAGCCTTGGCGCGGAAACAACGTGGTAACGAAAGTCAGGTGACTAATAAAGTGTGTATCCTTCGTGTGCACAACTTGCATGCGCGATAATGATCAGTGGCGTGGAGTTCTTTTTTTCTTCTTCCATGCGACTGTCGCGTTTGCCTTAAACATTTCTTTTTTTTTTTTACGATCGGATAATCAATCGACAGGTTTTTAATCTTCGCTATTTAATAGCTCATTAAATAGTTGATGAATGACTTGTGACTCTATTTTTCTGATAAAAAGATCCTAGGAGAGAATTATTTTAGAAAAAATACCGTCTGCTATTTCTTGATTTGCATAATGCTTCCGCCGCTAGCGATGACGCATTAACGATGCTTACGTATCGCTGCAACTTTCTGCTCGGAAACACGTGCGTCAATTAAACAGCGATGTCACCTTTTATAAACATTTCGCCGTTTATAATTCTAAAAGTGTGTACGAATTGCTTTGCATATTATTTTTCCACTCGAATGCTAATTTGGAACGACAAAAGTGTGTCGACTGCGTAACGCCATCGTTGAAGGTGCACAAATAATTTGCATAAGATTAATGCTATTTTTGCCACTTATATCAATCATAAAATGTGAATATTTATTTTTAATATGGATTCTCGAAATTTTGAAAAGGTTACAAATGCCAAATTATGTGCAATTTTTCTCGCCAATATTCCCTTTAATAGCTCTCTGCGTAACGCCTACCATTATGCCGTTCGGAGAAATTCGTGGCGAAAGGCGAAACCTTCTTTTATCGTTCATAATCGACGCGCTCGATGACGTGCCGATCGAAGGAGAAACGCTTCTCTGCACAGCATTTGAATGCTATGTCCGACTTATGTAATGATGAATAATTATTCTTACGTAGAGATCCTCTGATCACTATTCACCGTACACTAATATGCGCATAAATCATTTATGATCTTCGCGGCTTATCTTACACACAAAGTCTTTACTTTTATTTCTAGCAATATTAAAAATTTTGAATATTTAAACTACAATAAAACTGGTGTTAGAGTTTCATCGGTGACATTGAAAAGAATTGACGCATTATGCAACTGCATTATAGCGATTAAAGCGAAAGTGTTAATTATAGCGCTGAGCGATTAAGATCTTCATCTTTGTGATCATCGTCAGCACTGACTCACTGACGTGAGCACGAAAGCATCCCGTCGCATCAAGTATTTTTAATCGATGAGCGCATTTGCGCCACTATCATTTGCGGAATTAATGTCTTTTAAAATATAGTGCGATCAACGCTTAAAAACACATTTTGTTACTGCAAACACGTCGGCAATTTATTTCGACTTTTAAAATGTCGGGAATAATTCTATTGACAATAATAAGAACAAGCTGTTTGATCACGCGATAATTAGAATGCACGAGGTGTGGACTTTTAAGTCAACCGATTTAACATCGGTATCAGCGAGGCCGCGATTCTTTTTGCGCTTAAGCTTTTACTTACGACGTTAGTGTTAATGTGCCACGATAAAACTCCGGCAAGCGTGTGGCCGCAAAGTGTCACAAACAAGGACACTTTTCTCGGTCGATGTGACATATGTGACGTATGCAGATATCGATGCTTCTAATCCGACTTTATGCGCAAGATATCACTAGACTTGCATTTTGTTATAAATTATTCAGATGTTTTACATATAATTTCAGATTATTTCGTTAAATTGGTGTTATTTACAAAATAAAATGTTTCATTTAATTAAATGAAAGTTAAAACGATTGAAAAGATCTTTCAGTATTCAAGACGTTGAATGTAGTCAAGGAAATAACTTTCAATGCCGGCGAGATTAAAATTTTTTTGCAAAGCTTCCGACTCGTTTTCACAGAGGAAATATTCCGCAGCTATCTTTGCTCCATGCTTCGCGCCTTCATCTAATGAGCATCAGAGAGTACAACTGTCTTCTTTGCAAGGCGACAATAATTACCTAATTAGTTAGCTTGTTTTGCGACAGGAAGGTCGTTACGTTTCTCAGGACGTTATGTCATCGTGTGATCTAAAGTATTTCACTAATTCTACGTTTTTACGTCGAACGCTAATGCGATTAAAAAAAATAGTAAATACAATATCTAGTCGGAATTAAACCAAGTAATCAGATTTAAAAAGTATCAAAGTATCAAGTCTTTCGTGTTTGGAATCAATATTTTTGCTCGATTAATTAAAAGAAGCAAAACATACCTGTGTTGTAATACCGTAAGGTAAAGCTTGCTACGCAGAGTCGGAATTGCGACGTTTCGCAATACAATCTTTTTCTACGGTGACGGAACGTAAAATCGCTCGTTACTGCAGCGGCGGTGTCACGCTTGGAAAAGTAAACTGCAAGAAGATGTTTGTTAATCCACGCAGAGTTACTCTTGCGTCAACGCGATCAACCGGAAAAAGTGAGACTCATTTCGAGCAATCTTCAACCCAGCAACATCACCGGTGAACAAAAGAAAAGAGAGAAATTCACGAATTATTAATCCTTTGCAATGTTATAATTATCGATAAATTGCCTGTTTATAGCGTTTAAATTCAGTAATGGAAGGAAATTAGCAAGTCGTAATTAGCGTTCGAAATATCGATCAAGATATCGGATAAACAGCATGCATTTAATTAGATATATTTATATATATCAATCCGACGCCAAGGCCGCGAGAAACGCTTCACTTTTCAAAATAAAGTACTTTTTTCTGTGAAAAATATCTAAAAACCACTGTGGATTATATAGAAAGCTGTCACTGAAAAAGCCTGTTTCAGACGATGATTCTAACGGGGCCTCGGCCTGGGCAGCGGTTGCATCTGCTGCTGCTGCTGCTGCTGTTGCTGTTGCTGCTGCTGCTGCTGTTGTTGATGATGATGAGCGTATCCACCTCTTGAATTCGGTAGCTGCGTCCGTTCCGGAGTGTCGTTGAGATTCAGTCCGGCGACCAGCTGAGCGATCTCGCGATCCTTCTTCTCTTCCTTCGGCAGCGCGTTGCCGTTCTGCGCGCTGAAGCCGAGAGACGCCAGGCTGCCGTGACTTCTGCTCCGGTGTTCCGCTCGGATGCTGTAAGAAAAGGCTCTCTCGTTCAGATGGCCCTTCCGCCGATATATGCCGGTGCCGAAGCGGGACTCGTTCTCCGGACTGTCCGCCTGCCGAGCGACTTCCGGCGCGGTAAGATCGGCGTGCGAAGCAGCTAGTCTCCTGGACGTGCTTAAGGTGGAAGTGTCCGCTTCCGGGTGTCTCCTGCCCCTATTTCCGGCGGTGCCGTACGTGGCCGCCGGATACATAGCCGCCGGTGCTGCGGACGGCGGCACCACCGGCAGAGGAGCGTAAACCGGGACGATGGGCGCAGCCGCCGGGATAGGCCTCAGGCGTGGATGATGATGACTCTTCCGCGGCAGAGTTGCGGCTGGTACCAAGAGCACCGGCGCCGGTCTAGCCAACGTACCGGCGACGGATCGACTGCTGGGTGGCAGCGGATGGGGGTGGTAATGCTGCTGCCTGATGGGGTGACCGAGGGTGTGGTGCCCGTGGCCGTTGGTGTACACGCCTTGATGAAGCTGATGATGAAGGAGCTGCTGCTGCTGATGCTGCTGCAGCGCGTCTTCGTGCAGCGAGCGAGACTTAATTTTTTTCAGCTTCTTGTTGGCTTTCCGTCGCGCGGAGGATTCTTCCAACAGCAATGGTTGAGCGGGAGGGGGCGGCGGCGGTGGCGGCGGCGGTGGGGCGACCAGTTGGCGCGGTCTAGAGCCCTTGGTACTTCTCAAGGTGCCCTGTTCCTGATAAACACCGTCGACTTCGTCGCGACCTCTCGCCCATACTTTGTGATTTTCGTCGCCGTTGTACAAGCTGAGGTCGTCGGTCGACGTCGCGTCCAGGCGGGTCGCTTGAGGGCTGTCCAGAGTGGTGCTGGAACCGCCTAGAGTGTGATATAAACTGTTGTTCGAGTGATGACCCGTCGTTGCTCCGTTCATCGTCGCCGTCGACGGCTCCAGGCCTTTCGCGTAGCTGCTGTCGGCGTAAGCGTGGAAGCAACATCTCACCAGGGCGTTGGCCGCCATGTCACGCTTGCAGATGAACGCGTGACACTCGAGGACCTTGATGCCGGTCGTTCTTCGCAGCACGGCGGCGAACAAGGGCGGATGATTGGCGCTGGGTGTGCGCGCGAACGGCGAGTCCAACGGCAGAAACCGCGTGTTGGACGCGTCGCCGTTTCCACCCTTGACATGCCGCACCGCGGCGCAGTAATGCAGTGCCTCGATCGGGAAGAATCGCGTGACCTTCTTACGATGCTCGTCGACGTTCTCCAGCAGCAGGCCGTTGCTCCAGACGCTTAGCCAGGAGTCGATGCCGCGCGCGCCGAGCGCGCCCTGCTCGGGATAGAGTTCTCTCAGAGGCTCCTGAACGCCCAAGAGTCCTTCCTTGCTCGCGTGAGGTACCGAACTGCCCAGGTAGAGCACTCTACACCGGCAGTACGGCGTCGCCGTGTCCTGATTAGCTCCCCTCATTTTCTTTTTACTCGAGCCGCGACTAACGTGTCGATCGGATTTAATCTGAATTTCGCGATGCAGCTTAGAGATCACGCGCGCAATTAAGATCCGTACACGTTAAAAGATGGAAATAATATTTCATTATCGCGTGGAAAACTATCTCCGATTGTAGAAGGTAAAGTTTCACACGGGATTTAAACAGTCGTTTAAATCCGGCGACTGTGATAATTCTATCAGTCGGTTTCTCAAACGAAACGCGCACAGGACGCTCGATGATCCAGAACTGAAAGTGAGGAAACTTTTCGGAGAATTCAATGCCTGTGATACGTAAGGTACGTCGCTCCCACGGCGTGCGTCGAACTCCCCAATGGCAACAGCGACATCCGTGAATGCGGATCTTCCTGGACGTTAATTAGCAACCGGCAAATCGCTTCCCACGCGCATTGTTGGACCGCGGACGTGACTCAGGAGCCCATTGAGAGGTACGCGCGACACGTTCGCAGTGGCGAACGATACGGGACTCCGCCCGGTAAAGACACTCACAGGAGGGTTACGCAGTCACTGCTTTCCAAAGGCAAGCGGAGGCGGCGTGTATATCTCCGCGTGCGCTCGTCGTCGCGGCTGAGATGTTGCAAAATACGTGCGCGCGGCAAGAGGCGAGAGGAACTCAGCGGCGCGGATATTTCGCAGCAGCTGTAGCCGCTCGCTCGAGATCGCGTCAGACCATTATGGCCGCCTTCTTCTGGATTCCCCTCCCTCACTCCGTGTCGGGCCCCGCTTTACTCGTTCTGTTTCTCTCTGTTTCTCCCTCGCCGTCTCGGCCTCCCTCTCCGTCGCTCCTTCGCTTTCTTTCCCTTCGTGCCTCTTCCCCCTATCGCACCCCCCGTCCCCGTTCTCCGTCTCCGTCGCTTCCTTTCAGTTCACTCTAGACTTCTCTATCCCGCCTCCTACCTGAAACCCGGGGGCCTCACTGGTATGCAGCGCAGTGGCGTCGAACGTTGTCGGGGTCCCTCACTGATGTACCTCCACGTGTGGCCGCTGTCACACGTATACACCCACACTCGGCACAGGTACACTCGCGACCAGATAGATGAAAACACCACCCCCCCGAGAATGACGAATGGAGGAAATGACCGCGCGATGCCCGGCGGTGGCAAAATTAACGAATATTTCGACAAGTTGTGTGTTGGTGTTTGCGGAATCCAGAGGCGCGGCCGCAGGCGTCAGCCACGCGAACCACCGTGCCAACACCGGTGAGCCTCATCGGAGCCTCTCCCGCGGAGACGATGAAAATGGCGGAGGCTGCTATTTCGTTCGAACGCCGATCCGACGTTCGCCGAACGATCGACGTTTCGCGAATGTAGAGTAATGACTCCGGAAAACAGCCACGTGGAACGTGGAACGGGCTTCAGGAACGACACTGACGCATCGCCGTGCGCTGTGTAAGCGGAGCCGCTCTCTGTACACGCGCACACACACACACCCACGCGCCGCACGCATACACGCACGGGCGGTCTCGAGCGGAACGGCGAGCCACTATCTGCCAGTACGTTCGTTTTCTCACTGAGACCTGGTTGAAGCCGTGAGACTCGGCGACTGAGTCCCACTCCGGCTCTGCTGCCAGACCCCACTTCTCCGGCTTTTCATCGTTGGGTCACTCCTTGGACTCCGATCGTGTCACCGTACCTACCTTCTCCTCGACGGCGGGCACACCGTCGTTCGCGGGGTGGCGGAAATTGTGCCGAGGGAAGCGGACATTCCTCGGCTCGGTTTTATGTAGGCGCGCTAATGGCGTTTCCCCTTTCTTGCGGATGACGCAACGCTGTTTTGCTGTTAACAGTAATTAGTACTTTGACTCGAGGTGACATTTCAGTTTGCAGGAATCCCGTACGCATCAGGATGTCGCGAGACAGCTGAGTTTTTAGCATCTACAAACGTTAACATCACAATCGGACAGCGTAAACTTACAATTATTGATGCAAAGTCAAATTGTAATACAAAATATATTGATTTCTAATTAAGGACAATATAACTTTTTACACATTTTTGTATAACACGCATACTTTCGCACTTATCAGAGATGCCTGCAGAGTCGAGCATCTGGCGGCGTGTGATGTGTAAGCCCGTGCATGCCGAGTTGCCCTTTATAGGTCAGAGATTGCGCAGGTACCTGTGAATAAGAATTTATGCACTTTTCTCACACATAAACTGCAGGAAGTGAACGATTTTCTTTTGACAAAAGAGAGGATTCGAGGTCTCGAGGTCGCTCTTCATATAAATGCAGAACATGGTTGCGAAGGTGAAATCACGAATTTGTTGCGTAACCACAGTGAAATATCTGTCGGGCCTGACGAACAGATAGAAGGGTCTTTTCTGAAGGACCAATTAGCTTTGTCTGCTGTTTGACACAGAGAGAGATTTTAACACGGATTTTCTTCATAATTAAATACATGCAAAGATTTAAATTCTCGTGCAAAATTATATAATTTTCACTTTTCTAAAGTAATTGAAATTACAATATAATTTTTGCAATTAATTATAGCGTAAAGATATATTTCCCGTACGTAAGAGTATAAAATTTCACTTCGATACGTGTCTCATTTTCTTATCGCGTTTTTTGTGCCGATGCATAAGCTGTAGTTCCGCGAGAACGACATATTTTCCCGCTCGTTGTCGCCGCATAGAAATGAAACGACAATGATATCATTGATGGCTTTTCCATGCAATTAACCGCGAGCTGCACCGGCAGGAAGACGAGAAAATACGGTAGCAGGTTCGTGTCGTGAGCGTGAAATCGCAGAGACGCGGAATCAGGGTCGCGTGACCGGGACCCTGACCGTGGTCCAATGTCGGCATTTTTCAGTGGGAATTCTTCGCGAATCCTTTCGCACAGCTGACACATTTAGAAGCAGGGCGAATACGGCAGAGTCATTTCCGTTCGACATGAAATATACGAATTAAGCGGAGTTACTGTTGCGTGTAACTGTATCACAATTTTATGGCGATCAAAATGAAAACTTGACGTCCACAATTTCTAGTCGTCCAGATTTTATGCTTCGCGTCTTCAAAATATACTTGTTAGACATTTTATCATGAAAAAATGTAAATTTCCAAGATAAGTTTCAGAATGGAATTTTATACATTAAAATACTACAAATTATTTTTTCATTTTCTTGAGATTTAGGGAATAAAAAGTAATTAGTTTGCCAAGACTATCTGATTTATTTTGATCATAATTTTTTTTATGCGGGGACGTATATTTTTATTCCATTTATTGCACCTCAGACAAAAATGCTTTCTACTTAAAAAGAAGAAAAAATTGCTCAATATATGTCGTATCTTTTAAAAATGGGCATGCGTGAGATAGTCCGAAATGGCTACTTAGTATGCAAATAGTTGGATTCACTGTAAAATCTGCCAAATATTTATTTCGGGACTTGGAAATGCCTACCTTCGACTCGTCTTGTGTTTCGAAGGACGCCTGGTGTATAATTTCGAATTCTCACGATTCTTGGGTCGCAAAAGAATCACGATGTTTTTTTATTGTTAGATTGTAGTAAAATGCTAATTTTCAGCAAACTTCTAAAATCTGTTGAAGAGAGAGAGAGAGATTACAATCGCTTTATATTCCCAAAACGCTGAAGTTTACGGTAGAAATCTACATACGTTAAAAAGCGTTTATCTGAAACTGGCGAATGAAAATCGATCGTGCAGTGGGTTAGTGGGTCGTCGTCACGTTAATTACAAAGACTCCAAACGCCAAGAGTACAGTGCAATCACCTCTTGTCCAAGAATCCTCTTCAATCCCCTCTTTTCGCGTGCTCCGTGCATGCCCTTCCTGTGCGACATCTCGAATACATGCTTCACGACGTTTGTTTGCGATCAATTTTCTTATCGATTACGCTATTTTTTTATACTAAAAATTTTTAGGTAAACTTTAACAACCTTTTAAATAAATATTTAATAGCAAATTAATATATTGCAATTTTTATAAAAAAAGTTTTTTTTTGTTTGTTTTTTTAACATAGAGCGTCGTAAATAGTTCCAATGAATATAACATGTTTTTTATCAGCTCTGTCAATCTTTGTAGACTTTTTTAAAACGTAAGTACTATTTACAAAGGCTTCTAAAGTAGAAGTTAAAACCATTAGTCCGATAATATTTGTCGATCACGTGTATCTTTCAACGATAATCCTGGGTGAGTATATACATCCTGACAAAGTACTTTGAACCCGATATAACTCGGTGTAGCTGAATGCTGAGAAAGCACGCCGCTATGCGGCGAAGATTGTAATGGCTTTCCAACAGACATCTAACCGGACAATTCGAAAGTTTTATGCAAATAAAACCGATAGCTGAGGTCTTGTCGCGTGCACTTGCAAAAATCCATTAAGCATGAGTTTGTCGACTCGGCACAAATATCCGCGCATTGCTAGTTTCATTGAAACGCGGTACTTTCTTTCACATGCGACGGATAATTGTTTTCCGCGTGCTTGGAACTTCCACGATGCGTAAATGACGACGTCGGCGCGATTAAGCCGCGAGAAAGTTACGGTGAAACGTTAAGGAAAAGAATTAAGCGCTATGAATTGAGAATCGTTTCAAAGTCAATTAATAATCCATGGATTTTTGAAAATTGAATTGATAATTATAATAGATACGGAAATTTTGTAATTTTTTGAAAAATTTATATTTGTATTTGTCGCATTTTTTATTGTAAATTTAATTTTGTGAAATATTGGTAATACTATTTAGATCGCAACATTGTTTAAAGTAGAAGATTCAGTTACCAATGTCAAGCAAATACTATGATAGCACACTATAGTCTATTCTTTTTCTTAGGCTTCAATCTATGAACAGTTATGTTTTAAATATTTTTATGTCTATCAATTTCACGCGTTCGATTGCATTCGTGCTGACCACTTACCAATAGCGCGACCAAGCATCGAAGAGCTCGGAGTAGAATAACGGGAGATACAAACATCGGAAAGATGTGCGCTGCACGAAAACGTTGCTGTTACAATCGTGATAGTTCACTTTTACTGATTAAAAAAAGCGAACGTTGCAAATACATTTCGCATTACACATAAAAAAATTGTACCATTATTTATATATTAATATTTGCATTATAAAATGTTTTTTTGTAATGTTTAAATGTTCTCTTTTAAATAATTTAATTAAAAATATTTGGCAAATAATAATATAAATTATATACAGAAAACAATATTGCCAGCGTTGACAATTGTACACAAATTTTAATTAAACAGTATAACTTGATTAAATACAAGTATAAGTGTCACGAATGCCAAGACAATCGTGTAGGAAAAATTTAAAAAATTCCTGCTCGCACGCACATTGGGAGCAGAGGCATTTCCGACACGTAGCATCCGCTTTTCCGTCACGTATTTCTGCCTTTAGATAGGCATGAAGTCGTCATGGCTCACATTGTCGTGACTATTGATGGTAAATCGAAGCTAAGCGAAAGGCAAGTCGTGCACTAAAAAATCGAACATTAATTTAAAGTTTAATATTATGTTCAAGCATTATATTAATTCATTATCTTTTCAATTTATTAAATTCATGTTCAAAAATTTTTTTAGTTGTGTATTTTAAAACAAAAATTCTGCAAGGAATTAAAGTGGTAAATAAAATGGAAAACTCGAGACATTTTGCAGTTTTCTCGCAGTACAAACAAAGGGTAAGGCGGGATCGCGATACTTCGGTAGAGCATGCAACATAGTGTCTGGCATTTAACCAGGAACTATCACGCGCGTGTATAAAGGCCCTGCGGCTCGTGAGACCCCTATAACAGGTCACTGCCATCGAGAGAAGCGAGCAGGTTCGCAGAGCTGAATCCCTTTACGGGAGAAGGGGAGCCTGTTTATCCGCACTGCATTTACACACATATGCTGACACGCACGTATATCATTTGCTAGTCGATCTGCGGCGAAGATCTGTGGCGAAACAATGCCCTCTCTTTCATTAAAATTCATTAAAATATAGAATAAATAAATGTAGGATTTATTTGCATACATGTACTCGTTTAGCAAATCCGATGGAGACTCTCGTTACTTTTACATTTAAAAAAAATGCAAAGCGGGTGTGTCTGAGAGAATCCACGTTTAGACGCAAAAGGCGCGGTAACGCAACGGTAATCGAATTTCTGAATTACATTAGGCGTGTGAATTACGTTACGAGAGAACGACACGAACATTCGCTCACATTGGTACCGTTCTCAGTAACGGTCACCCGGTATATGCCCTCCTCGAGGATGGAGCAATGTTCCACGCGATTGCGGGGCTCATCAGCGGGAAAAACGAGACAACGACAATTCCACGCGTCTTAATCTCGGCGTCACCTTTGCGAAACTGCGGCCGTTGGATTATTGTGGTTTGCGAAACTTAGAAATATTTTTGTAGAAAGTAATCGCGCGTTTCAGGACATTGCGAATTGCATTTTAATGAATGTTATGTGAATAAAAACGAATATGAATAAATTACGAACGTTGTCCCGTGTTACGCCGTCGCGGGCGTAAAGACTTTCTCGAAATTATAATACATTTATGCGCTTGTAGCGCTTCCTCCGTAAATCGCGATGTATATCAATTTCTTCTGTGCGAAACCGTTTCGTACTTCATTCGAGCAATTTCTCCTCTTGATACAACATTGAAAGTTGATACGGGCGTCTCTGCTTGCTACTTCACCAGTATTTTTTATTAAATATTTATTGCTAACAGCACTTAATGCGCTCTTAGAAAATGCATTAGAAATGGATCGATGCATTACAGTTAAACATATGCCACATATACAATTCAATAATAATAATCGTTACGAAATCTAGAATATCTTACACATCATTAACACAGTTTATCAAATAAAAAAAATAGTTAATAATTTTTTTAATTGTACCTGTATAATCTCGTGACATATCTAATAATTAATTTAATGTTTTAGAAAACAGTCGCATGAAAGATTTGACGAAGAAAAGAAATGTAGATTTTTTTTTCTTAATCTGTAATAAAAAAAACTTTTTATTTATTTATTATTTGCAAAAGAATTGAAAATATTAAAACAATGTATGTTGACCACTCCCTGCTCCGCGCTGAAAATAAAAATAATTCATTAGCCTCGATGATTCATGAATAATCTCTACGATCAAGTAAAATGCTAACTATTTCTCATCGTAATAAATTTTCAAGATATAAATTAATTTATTCCCATGAGAAATGTTAACGTTACATCTGACCTATTTTACTATGCAGATAATATCAAATTTAATAGAACAACGGTACCTGAAAAGTTTTAAGCTATTATACAAATTATGGCATGTGAATATGCATTTTTTTCGGGTATACTTCTCGCAGTCTCGTTGTAAATGTGGGACATCCGGTGCAATCGGTACATTCGGGGCATAGGGTTCGATGAATTGTAACACAGCCCGGGGGCAGCGTCTTCCTGGAAGCCGGAGAGATCATTCCTTGCGCCATGCTTGTATCCAATTTTCACCGCGTACATCTTGCGTGTATAAATGCCGTCGTAGTATTCTCTGAATCCTATTTAACACAATCTCTCCCTTACATAACGCTTGATATTACTGCGGGAATATGGCCGGAATAAATTAAATGAGGACATGTGACATTATACGCGCTGCTGTTTCGTAAAACAAGAGCCGTATGATGCAACAGAAATTAGGATACATTAACATAGTTATATATTCAAAGAGAGATTATATTTATATATAATCTACTTTTTAATATATTACGTAAAATATCCTTATTGTTCTCAGTGTATATTTTATTTTTTAACAAATTATATTTTTATGGTAAAGATTTAAATTTATTGAAAGTATTTCATTAGCAAGAAGAGAAATTTCTGTAATAACCAGTTTTTAATAAATATTAAAATAGTGCACGTTTCGATTATACACTACTCCACAAAAAATAGGAAACTTTTCAGATGTATAAAATTGAACAATTTTCAAACCTTTAAAATTCGGCAAAAAATCATCGCAAATTTTTTTTTAATTAAAAAAGCATTTAAAAATTTAAAGTTTGTACTTTTATGTGCTTTAAACCACTTTAAAAAATTTTTTTATGTTTACATTTCTAAGCCCAAAGAGAAACATATTATTTCGTTCTTAAAATTACTCAACCTATTCAACACTTTGCAATTCGATAAAAAAATTTTCTCGCACAATTTATAACAAATGTCAAAAATTACATTTTATCTATAAAACGTGTTTTTGAAAATTTTACTACAATTTTTTTTATTCAAATTACGCGATTTTAAAACCAATATTTCAAAAAAAAGATCGGTTTAGCGTAAAAATACAGATTTAAGTTCAAAGTGTAACTCGGCCAAAAGAAATCATAGCAAAATTTAAAAGAACATAGTTTTGTAGGTAAAATGTTGCAATTTTAGATATTTCTCGTAAATTTTGCAAGAAAAATTTTTTTATCGAGCTGCAATGTGTTAAACGTACGTGATCTTCAATCTCAATCGAATGGGGAAAATAAAAAAGTACAAGAACTTGTTGTTACAATTATTATTGGTACTGTTATTATCGGTATTACTATGTTGTTATTATTATTATTATATTGTTAGTGTGGCATCCGACGCATAACAATATAGTACGTATTCGGGATCGCGTTAAAATTCGTTCTCAGTTAGAACCTTGTTAACGAGATCCATCGCTCGTACTCGATAACAACGATACGCAAAATCATAACTGAATTCATCGAAAAATGTGATACATACACAAGTTTTTTTACTCTCATTACGTACAATCTTCAATGGCATTGACTGTTCAGTGGCATGATATATGAGCAAATCATCATAATCACACATCTGCGATTAATCAGCATGTTTGCTATCCAGGATTACGCACGAATTTGCACATTGCAATAATGATTACAATTAACATTTATTACGCTAGCGATCAATTGTATTAAATAATTTATTTTTGCATGTTAATGTATAAATAATAGATAATGAAAGGATGATGTTAATATTAACTGAGAAAATTCCCTGTTAGTGTCCTGGAGCCGAAAACGTTCGTATCGCAGTCCTCTCGTTCTCCTTTTTCCTTCCTCATTTTATAACAGAAGCGGGACAAAGGCCACGAACACACTGAACGGTCAAGGCGCGATACAAGAATAGAATGATATGTCGGTTAATTAAATAATTCGTCCGATAACGGGCTAAATGTATCAGTAGGGATGAAGCGCGGCTAGGCCCAATCTCGGCGGTTCGGCGTAGCTGTGACGGTATCTGCCGGGTGTTGGGATCATCTCCAACGCTGGTCTGGCACTTTCGCGATCGAGTCCAGGATATCGTTCGTGCTCCGATAGCTCCTGGTAGGCCGTGCCTCTCGTCCGCAATTTATCACGCAGTTCCCGCGAGTGCTGCGTACGTTCTCGGAACTCTCGCATCTGCTCGATAAAAAGGTAAAATTACCACAGTATTAAAATTATATATATGTTTAATATCGCAAATTCTTACGTCTCTCTGATCAATGGGGTTTCTCTGATCCCTGAAATCCCTGCCGATCACCGGATTCTCGTAGAAGCTTCTCGGCCGTGGCCTCGAAATCTCCGGTTCAGGTGGACGTTCTATCGCGTAATGATGAGTCCTGGGTCGCGGTCTGCCCTTGTAAGACACGACATTTTCGCGATCTAGCACATTCGGCTGATTCCGTCTGATTATATGATCGTGCGAGGACATGGAATTCAAACTGGTTGAATATTGGCGACTGGATCGATCCTCGTGAATTTGTCTAGCCGACTCGACCCTGTTAAATAACAAAATATTGTAATTATTTCATAACAAATTATAGATTTCTATACAAAAAAAGAATTCTGAGCATAATTTTATTTAAGGATGTCGACAAAAATTTATTGATGTGAAAAATTATTTCAGATTCTCTTTTTCTTCTTCGAAAGATAAGTTTGTAAAAGAGATTTTCTGTAAAAACTTTTGACTGTGTTAAATAATAAAGTGTTGTAATTTATGATGATTTAGTAACAAATGTGTGTTTCTACACAAAGAAAAACTGTGAGCATAATTTTATTGTTAAACGTTGACAAAAATGTATTGAAATCGAAGATTATATTTCAGATTTCTTTTTTCTTTCTAGAGCAATAAGAATCTAAGAGAGATGTTCTGCAAAAAGTTTCTCGGAATGTGAACAGGCGAGATATCGATGGTAACTGCAATCTTTACAGCCCACCGTATCTAGATCTGCAAATCCATAAATCTCTCTTGCGGAAACGCGTTTGATCGGTGAAAATGTTCGTTACATAGGTACTCGAAACCCGTTCGACCATGGAAAGCTGGGCAGAACCATATATGCGCAAAACGAAAAGCGCGACGGCGATCGATGTCACGTTTAGATCCCCGGGCTGATACTCTCGACAACAACATTGCATTCCGACTTTTACTCGCGATCAAGTCGCGCGATTAATGTTGCCCAGCGAGTGTTTCGTAAATTAGAACACGCTCGCGCTAGATACCGCGGAATACGAGTTTCTTTTCAGGCAGCAGATAAGCTTCCTCGTCTCACGGCATCTATCATAATTTTTTTGGTACAGCTTGAAGAAGCTGTCAATAATATTTATTAAAGTGCTGAAAAAAAAAATTTCGTTCTCGACTATACATCAATAATGATAAATTAACGACGATCGCCGTCATGATAAAAGTTGCATCTTTGACGTACCTGTGAACAGGATGATGCTCGACGTCTCTCTGTCTGGAGAGAACAGGTCTCGCGATGGCTTCCCTCTCCATAGCCCTAAACATCTCCTTGGCATCGTGGAACCTCTCTCTGGGACTGGTCACCTCGCTGGGATTGACCCTGGGCTGGTAATGAGGACTCGGTGATCGCTGTCTAAATTCCGCTGCTCGTCGATTTCTGTTGCAACTCGGTGAAACTCCTCTGGTCGCTTGATTGGGCAGTCTTTCCGGGCTACGCGGTAATCGCGGCAACGTCAGGCTCGATGCAGCTGTCTCCACTTCTGGCAGATAATCGTTCTCTTCGTTCGGTACACCCCAATCGTCATCTGCAAATGATTGACACACATATTAGAATTATGAACTAGAATTTCGCTTCATTTGCAATAAACGTTTCTTATTTCTTAATGTCGGTGTCCTATCGTACAGCTCACTAATATGAAAACTTATAGCGTTTTCGATTATACGGATTTTGATCGACCCCAAGGTTGATCAATCACTACTTTACTATGAATTCGTGTCTTTTATTGATGGAGACGACGCAATGACGTCATTAGTCAACCTTGGGTCGATCAAAATCCGTATAATCGAAAACGCTATTATAATATCGATTTTATCATTCTGACACAATCTTTATAAAAGTCGGAAAATAATGTTGCACAAAATTCTTCTTTAATAACGACGTACGCTTTTCTTCTTTCTGGGATAATGAACGCAGAATACGGTTACGAATTTTGTCAAATAGTAGTCCCACGATTTGCCCCTCCAATCGAGCCGTGGAAAATCGGTCGGCGGTAATTCTCGCGGAATCTGGCATCTCGATGAGGTCAGGGAGATTTAAAGAGCGGTAGCGGGCTAAAGGGGCACAGAGGACAGGCGGAAGGAGGATAGGGGGAACGCAGATGAGGCTCGAAGAGAGACACGAGGAGGCTGAAAGGTGCCTCGGGCTGTGGGCCGAGAATGCGGAACTTTATTCCGTACGTACAACGGCCTCCCACGAGGTCGACTCACGCACGAATTTACGAGTCGTCGTCGTCGTCGCCGTCATCAAGGCAGCGTCTCATCATCATCATCATGACTGTCATTATCCGTAAACAACGACGACGCGGAGCGGCGCTCTCGGCCCCCGCCTTCTGCCGGGCCGCGCGTGGAAACGCGACTTCGGCGAAGAAGAACTGTTTTGCGCAACGATCCGCCGCAAAACGACGAGGCGGAGTGCCGTTACTGTATTAGGTAAGAATCAGAGGGTGAAGTCAATCGAGCGGGATCCTCCCCCTCCCGGGACACCGTCGCGGGATTTTACGTCGCGCGCTTCCGGCACTTCGATCGCTGAGACAATAGGGTATTATTATTATTATTATACATAATTGTTCATTACAGTATATGTATATTAGTCTCCAACGCATTTACCAGCGACGCGATCATTATCCGTCGTGTTTCCACGATATCGATAATTTTCGATCCATGGCGTAACGGTATTCGAGATTCGTTAAAAATTTATACACAATAAGGCATCTCGATAACACATAATTGATTGGCGCCGCTGCAAAGCCGATAAGACGATAGTGATAATGTCGACCAATATCTCCGCTTGCAATCTAAGCAGCCTTAGAATAGTTTCGCGTGAAATATAGCTACGTCACATAAGGCGATGCGGGAACGTGAGCATAAGATGCGCAAAGGCGTTAAGTATGTCACGTCGCTTTGCACCGCAAGAATTTCTGGTAGGATCGGAGCGCCGTTCACACGATAGGACCGCAGTGAAAAAAATCACGATCAGGCGTTGATCACATCGCGGTTCGACATCTGTTGCGTCTTCTTCAATCGTGCGGAACGTAAACGTGACAGAAGGTGATGATTTCATCGCGAAATAAATCAGTACTATCGATCGACCTAGCATTAAGGATTGCAAATGTCTTTTCCTTTGTAAAAAGTTGCATGTCAAGCTCTGCAGCTTTAATAATCGTCAAATGTACGACAATACGAAAGAGATAGAGAATTAAAAAGAAAACATAACTATATAAAGGAAACAGAAAATCGCGATTGCGGATTCCGCGAAAGCGTAATCATTGTAAATTTAATCAATTATACAGTCATTGAGGCAAATCTGGCATTTTCTGCACAAACAATAAAATGGAAAAGAGATTTTGTTTACGGTGATCGAAGCACGGCGAATTTTTTTGGACAAACGATGCTGAGATGCGCCACAGAGATGCTGCAGCGCGATTAATGCGATTGTTTTCTAAACACGATGGCCGCATTTCGAAAAGATTCTCTGTGTATCGGTTAATGTAAACGAAATCTCGATTCTATCTATCGGAGCAATTGACCCGCCTTAGCGCTCCTCGGATTACTCGAATAGAAAGGCTCACTGTAAAGTCCCACGAACTCGCGCAGCATATCTATCTAATATAAATCGAATTATGAATAAAAAGGTAAATACAACGTGCGCAATATCAACCTCATAGAAAATTAATCTGCTCAAGGCAATTTTCGTCAACCGAAAAAGAAAATGGCATAGATAATTCAAGTCGAATTATTACGCCAATAGCACGCTGGGATTTAAGGCTAATACTTTGATGTGCTGTTGATTGCGCTTTATGTAGTCAGAATTGACATGATATCCAGCAGTGGATGTAGCATTCGAATTTATAAAAAAATAATAAAATAATAGATAATGCGATGCGAATGCCAATAGCGTACTCAGTTTTAAGACTCGAGATTGATTCGCCAATTATTCTTCGTGATAGCGAGATTAATGTGACAGATAATAACATCCGAGTTTCCATCCGCGAATCTATCGAAGCCGCAGCTCGTAAACGGCAGATGCTTAACTTCCGTACGAAATCTGGCCGCCGCCAAACGACGATTGGCTGCTTTTTGCGACCGTACGTAGCCCTGGAGCCAGCCGAGAGATACGTACACCCGTCGCGGGCCGTGGTACCTGCCGCTGACACGACGACGTCCTAACGGTATTCCTTCCACTGTAACAGGTGCTCAATACAATCTCTCTCTCGCGTATGAGCTTAAACGCCGTGCCGAGCGTGTCTACCGGTACACGCTGCTACGCGACGGGGGTATCGGGTCCTTTTTTTTTCTCTCCTTCCTCTCCTTCATCTTTTGAAATTTATTCAACTACGCTATATGGGTCAGTCGTCCGTTAAAAACACGTTTCTCGCGTCAGAAGGCACGCCCCAAGAAGACGAGCGCGAGCTCCTCGGCTTTGAAGCTCCGACGTGCAGCGCGTCGCGTGCATTCTTAATGCGAACCGCTGCGCTCTATCGCTCGAACTATCGTTGCTTTATACGATAGATAAAGTAAGTAGGGTGAATTCATTTACGGCCGTCCGAGCATTTAATAAAGCGTTTATGCTAAGCACCGTCGTTACATTTCTCTTTATTTCCGCGTCCTCGTTCTCGAGGTATCTAAAAAGTATCGTAAATGAAATAAACATTTCTTAATTGGATCGCGAGTTTTTAGCAGACTCTTTCCTCGCCGAGGCATCGACAGCGGCGATTTGTCGTTTATAGCCGCTTCTTTCACCTTGACAGCTTTAACCGCGGAGTTTCGATCGTGAAAAGTTCTAAACGACAACCGAGATTTATTATACAGAGAAAACGAACGGGCCATTAATCTGCGAAATATGATTTTTCTGCGTTACGGCCAGCTTTCCTGCATGAATTTTTGTTACGCGAGGATCGGACTTTCCAGCGATGCGATTTCGCGCGTTTCCTTCACTCAGATTTTTAGAACATGAGGTGTATGCAAATGTCACATGGACGTGAAGTTTTCGGGATTCACCGGGGTGAAAGTGGACGATTTTATTGTTAGAACGGACGCGCGTGTTCTCTATCGCAAACCGGGCCGAACTCGATTCCGCATTCAATACGCGATTCCGCATTCAATGCGACGGCTCGACGGAACGGCGAAAAGGAAGGAAGAAAAAAAAAGCGAGCGTGCTTGAAGACGACGACGAGAAACGATTTTTCGTAGCTACCCGGCATCTGGGTTACGAGGTCGTTCGATTCGCTTCTGCCCAGTTTTCTACGAGAGCCGATAAGATTGGAGCCAACACGCATGGGCACCTGTCCCGCGAGTAGAAAGCGCCGAAATTTTTATCGTCACCGAGTCCGGCGCGAGTCTTTGACCGCGGAATCATTTCCGCTTTCGTCCGTAAGGAAACGCACAGATTGCTTTCGTTTTAAAATTGACGTGTTCCCGATAGTTGTTCGTTTTCACGAAGAGACAAAAAATTCACCAATCGGTTTATCCTTTTATGCTTCTTAATATAATAACAGAGACAAATATATGATTACTTTAATTATCAGCGTGGTGGATTTTTGAGGGGGATAATTTTTTCTCACTGACTGCCACATGTAAAGCTAATTTCGCCCATCTCGGTAGTTCTCCTCGCTCGGAGAGGAATGATTATTGGGTGCGCGATCATTTCCTGAGACGGATCGCGAAAAGAAGAAGCGATGACTTTCACTTTCATGCGGCGCCCAGCATCGGCTTGCGTTATCGCTTAACCGGCGTAATGATGCGTCCAGTCAATAGCACACCGCAGGATCATACTAAAAACTTTCCATTTTGCAATTAGCCGCAAATTATGTAACAATAACGTGCAATTTTTAGCGCTAAATAGCATATTTATGTAACTCCAATCTTTTTGTCGCCCGGTCGATCTCTCCGCCGTCAATACTTTCGATACTTCACGATGCACGATTTATGATCTTATGTTAGAGCGAGTTTCAAGATTCTACTTTCAGGAACTAGTTGTTCAACTTTCAAGATATTATGGCGCTACCACACAGCGCTGGCAGTTATAAATTTAATTACTACACTCATAATATTAATTTACCATAAAATATGCTAAACGAGAGTTTGTTTGTGGCATACTTTATGCACATATAGCAATTTCAAAGTAATACGTGTTTACTCTGTCCTGAAAACCTATTTCAGCGACCATGTAATACCTACGCAACGATGCTCTCAGCGGTATTGGCCAATAACGCGGAATTTCTAAGAGCGTAATACTCGCGACTAGTTTCACACTCGCTAGATGCAATTGTCACGCTCGCAGTCAATTTTACGCACGCTCCTCCGCGGAGGATTTCTTGCCTGAAATGGGATGTTGCATCGTAACTTGACGCAACGGCTGAGCCGCGAAAATGCCTCTCAGACTTCGCATTGCAACGACCTACTTGCTAGCTCCTAATTTTCATACACGTGCCTTCTAACCAGCACCGCATTCTAGCTCAGCGGAGAGACAAGTTTATCTCTGGAAAATAATATTGCCAGAGAATTTTAAATAAATATGTAAAATTAAAGACTTTTTAAATTAAAATTTATGATAATACAAAAATAATATTTATGATAATACAAAAACGTGACGAAAGTCGCTCACCGGAAGAGGAATCTCTGGACGGTCTGGACGGTCTCTGGCTGAGGGGATGATGCGTCTGATAAGGCGGAGGTGTTGCCGCGCTGTCGGATCCTATGCCGCTGCTGGCCGCGCTTCTGGTGCCACCTCTGTCGAGGACCGTGTTGCCACCCACGATAGTCTGATTTAGGCAACGTCTGAACTCGATACCGGCCAAATTACCGCGGTGTCTGTGCACGGTATCGTAGTCGCGCGGCGGCAGCAATATCGGACCGACATCGTTGTCGCCGGAATTGCCTCTGCCTGAAACACGATTGTCTGGCTCGTATTTACGTCGCCTTGACACGTATTCGAATAATGCGCGTAGATAACCAGCGCTTGTTCTCTTATACAGTTAAAATCGCTGAATGCAAAAGTAGCATTGAACACAAATGATGATGAGATAATCAAATGGAATCTTCTCTTATCATTTTAATTTTAATTTTCTGCTTCTTTTTAATATTGCACGTAATATTTTCCGAAATCCCGTTTGCCTCTCGGCAAGTATGTAAAATCTTATACAGCGGTGAAACGAGGCTTAATGGAGACATTCACCTAATTTTGCCCGCAACTCGGCGGCCAGAGACTCGTAAATGGTCGTGGTTTGGACCGGATCGTGTCTGAGCTCACCGCTGCCTTCGGAAGACTCCGACTCTCTGGTACTTCGGCCGTCGCTGCCTAGATTGCTGCGAATCCTGCCTTCGCTCGCCGTGACCCTGGCCAAATTGTCGGTGTGTGACGCCAGCGCTTTCAACTGGCCACCCAACAATTCGGCGGTCTCGACCGAGTCGCATCTGAAATGACGAAAAAGTGAGGAGGAAGATATAAACGAGGTCCTGCCCTCCCGAGTCCTCGAAATGATGAAGAGATTAAGCGAGAGATAAATGCAATATCGTCCTGTTAGCCTTACGCAGATCCAACGTCCGAACCTGTTTTCTTGTGCGCAGCATCGTATGCAAATTATAGCGTGTGTCCCGAGACAATAATAACGAAGCGAGATAAAATCGTATAAACAAGACAAAACTTCCGTGTACAACGAGAGGCGTGTGAGATCAAACCACTCTGCGAAAAAAAACGCACGGAAAATGCGCGTCGTGTTGCCAGATGTAAACCCACGATAAGAAAGGATCTCAGCGGGAAAAATGCTGGCCATCTCTTTTCATTTGGGTCATTAGTGTACTTAACGAGGCTCATTGCGGTATATAATTGAAATATTCATTCGAGCTCTATACTATAAAAATGTTCTTTAACGGTACTTTCATTCAGCATACCAGAGAGATCGCGCGCCGTCGCGGTTACTCCGCTTAAACAATCGGTGTCGATCTTCGTATAATAGAATGCCGTTTGCAATCCCGTCTCTCCCCCCCCCCCTCCCTCTCTCTCACTGTCTCTTGCCTTATGTACGAAATAAAGTTCAATCGAGATTTCTAAGCTACAATCATTTCGAACGCGTGCTAATTATCGTTTGCCATTGTAAAGCAAATTGCTGAGCCAATAGCCTCGATAATTTGCAATTTAATGACAAGGTTGCTCCGAATACTTTGATTTGCCCGCTGTGACGGCGCAACGTGATCGACCGACGTGCGAATATCGCGAGATTATGAAAATCATTAGCAATCATTAGAATTATGAAAATCGTTAATTAAGGACCGAAACGTGGCTCGTTACGGGTGAGATCGTGGCGATGAACCGAATAACCTCTATTTAACCGCGAATTCCTCGTTCCGGACTCGACGTATAAACAGCGTGGCTACATCTTACGTTCCCATATTGCGCTTAATAATGGTCCGCATTATTTTTTGATTAATGAGTCAGCAGTTCAGTTATATATGAACGACTATGGAAGGAACAAAGCTATTAGCACCCGAGGATTATCTGATTTCCAAGAGGAAATTAGTAATTTAAATTAAATAGCAAAGCTACGAAAAATCCTCGAGAATCGATTAGTCGGAGATAATTTGCACAATTAATTTATCGTTACCATTATCGATTGTTTAAAAATAAAATAATAACCTGTATGCGTGCACGTGTACAGGATTGTTCGTGGCTGGATTCGGCAGGAGCAGAGTCGCGGCTACGACGTCCTCCCGCTGCACAGCCGCCAGCACCGCATGACCTGGCACCAAGTGTTTCACCGCCGACCTAGTCGAGCCTCCCGGGTGAACCGTCTGTATAATCTTCAGACCTTTGTTGCTCACCTATTAAATATAAAAGTACGCCGTTCACGTCGCTGGTTGCGCGCCCTTACGCAAACCGTGTCTTTGTTTGCGCCTCATGAATCGCGAGAGCGCACCGCCACACATTCCACGCGATCGTTGCACCACTTGAATGTATGGCATAATTTAAAAGCGGATTTTCATTAATAAAAAAAAATTACATACGAGGCGGGTGTGTCGCTGTTTCTCTTGAATTATTAATATAAAAGTAATCCTCAATATTTTCAATATCGCCGATGTTGCATACATATCGGAAAGTTAACAATCAATTCACAATAAAGCAATCAAAGTTTCTCGCGTCGTAAAGTTTTAACACTGTTGATTGCCTTGTTCTTTATCTCGCATCCCGCGCAAATACTCGTCCTTGTACTTAAAGCGAAACACGTGAGAGCAGATATGCGAGAAGGCGTGTGCCGCGTAATTCCCTCGGCGTACAATATGTTCCACTTCGCGAAAGCACTTAATTACCGCGCTGTCGATCATCGCGACGATTCGAATTGCTGAAATGCCCGCAAGACCGGTTATCTGCCACCCACGGACACCCCGTAGACTTTCCCGCATTGCCCGGCAATTACACTTACACAATAATTAGATGGGCCGCGTTTCGTAACGCGTCTTTTTCGACGCGGTATACGTTCTGCGGCGTAGTCCGTCCGAATAGCGAGTGCATTGAACAAACCGAATGAGCTACTATTAACAAATCATTATTCACTCCGCTTGTTCCATTTTTTAATTAAAATATATGACAAACAATTTCCAACATAATTTCGCGACAACGTGTGAATAACGGTTAGAAATAAAATGTAGGCGCTCATTCAACTGTTCGCGATGCTATCGCACACCATTCATCTTGCGCGCAGTAATCTCCTTTTAACAGCACAGACATCTGGCGAATTCTAATGCGATGTAAGTTTAAAAATATTTGCTAATAATTACAAAGAACTCGTTTGCTTCATTTGACACCGTTACTGCGTACATTAAATCACTTCTTACGCGCAGTTTAGATACGAGCTGCGTTTAGCGAGATTTATTGCATCATGTGCCGGTAGCAAATGCGATTTCTAAACGAGCGAGCGTATCCTTTTTCAGATGCCACTTGATATGCGACGGAAAGCGCACGCCACGTGCCCGTTTTAACGGTCGCGAAACAGTTTTGGAGTCAGGCGTTTAATTTCTCTTTTCCTATCGAAGAAACGTGTAGCATTCGTTTCTATAAAATTCGGGTCAGTGAATTTATTATTGCATTTATTTACGCAGCGCAAGCGCGCAATGCTACAGATACACGATTAAAATAATTCTTTATAGAAAAAGTCTCGCAGATTGTATTATACTCGTCGGAAAAAAAATTAAATATGTGGAAAATTAAATTATTAAGTGTTTCATGAGAAATATAAATGTTCTTTTATCTTTGATAGTTTCTGTTATTATTCGCGGATAAACAGAAAATTTTAAATGGGAATTATTAAAGCGAATGACTCGCGTCGCGTGAGAATGTTTTCTTCCTTCGCTGAAATGTGTTGCGAGCGCGCGTAGCATCGAGGTTAATGCATCTATCTCCGGCCACGCGGTTACCGAAAATTCCCACGTTCCTAAAATGCACCAAAGCATCGTCAAGTCGCGGCAGAATTCGTTCGCAATCAATTGAGTAGTAAATACGGAGGACGTCGCGTCGAACTGATAGCGGAACGAATCGGGCGAACCCTGCGGCCGAGATAAGATCGTAATTTCGCTATTTTTATATTCTCGGGCGAGTGCTTTCACTGTCACGCGCATAGATAGACACGGTTGAGAGGAAGAAAAGAACAGGAAGTACAAGATATTATATCGATGCGAGCTCCGGTTCAATGGTTGCGGCCGGCTCGTCGCCGGCCTATTCGTTTCCGCGGTATTTTTGGCGCGCACTACCAAAACCGGATCTCGAGATGGTACCGCTCACCTGCAGTGTGACCTTGAAAGGTTCTTGAAGTCGTTCTCGTTCCAGCAGGTAAGCTATGGCACCGGGCATCGCGTCCACCCCTTTGGCCTCCCTCGCGCCAAGATACCAGACGTAATAGAAGCTCTTCTTGACATCCTTGCTACCTCTCAGGCGCAGGGCCATCACTCGCTGCTCGCGGAAACAAATGAGTATCATCATTCCGTCCTTCGGATAATAACGCGTTATCGAGGAAACGAGTCGAAACGGTGAATTGCGCTGGGTAGCGGACGATCCGTTATTACAAACATGTTTGACTTTTAATCGACTCGTTAAATGAGTAATTACTGCAGAATTGCTTGACTTAAAAACCTCTTATATTTAAAGGATGAATGAGATTTCTATTATTCTAACTTTCAATGTGATGTAGAAATGTTATCTGCGTAGCTTTTTTAAAACAAATAGTTCATTGCAATGTGATGATTTATCGCTCGAAAGATATATGCGATTGATAAAACAAAGTGATAACGTAGAATATCGAAAGAGCTCCTTCATTTTTAATAGTCGTGATTATTTATCGTTGCAAGTGAAAAAAATTTTTTTGAATAAATCAATCGCCATTGAAGCGACTAGAAAACACCGTAGTACCGGACTTCTCTGCATAATAGATACTGAGTCCAAAATATAGCAAAGATTGTACGATAGTGCAAACGTTGACGCGCAAAATGTCATGTTCACGCGCGGAAGTGTTTGTCAGAGTTACAGAGATTGCGGATAATGTTACAACGCGCGGAACGTAAACGGATACTATTTCCTGCATAATTTTTATTTAATTATACACGTCGCCTCTCTCATCCGATCGGAGAAAAACGTTGATTTTCCACGAGGCCGGGGCTTTTACCGTGTCTGCCGCGCGAGGAGCACGAGCAAGCCTGTCGGTTCATCCACTTCCTCAATTACTTTCACGCTTAAACCCGTTTCCACGTTATCCATCCAGCGGCGAATCGTTTCCCACTGATGCCTAACGACGACGATGCTTTATAACGAAAACATTTTACAAGATGAAAGTGTACCGATAGATGCTAATCCACGAGATAAATGATCGGGAAGCTTTTACGTGGTTTTCGACGTAAGCAATCTCGATGAGTATTAATTTTAGATAATCCGTTATTACGCTTCTCAATGATTTTATCATTCTGCCGTTAGCAGGAAAGTGTGTGCAGGCCATCTCTCGTTTGTCTCGTTGCTGAGATTTGTTTGAATTATTTATTAAAAGTTAATTTGCTGTATAATTAATTATATATGAATAATTTGTTTATTATCAGCACCAAACAGTATTCGCAGGAACAAGCATCTCTTTTGTCTGCAAATCGATATTCGACAGTGACTACTTGGACGTACTTGACACGTCTCCTTACCATTTGGCGTTGAAACGTGCGTGCCGAATTTTAAATAGCGCGATTGTGTCTTTGTTGTATCACGAACGGCTGTGTTATCTCAGAAACCGCAATCTCTGAGCTATGTAAGGATTAATAATTTTATAAATATCTTTATTAATAAAATACGATCGATCAATCTCCACATTGCAATCTTATTCGTATGCAACCTTAAATCTCGTTTTTATCGTTTAAGAAATCTCGTTTCAAGTTGCGAGGAAGAAAAAAGCGGACCATGTATTTTTCAGAGCATCGAGATATGAATATTTAAGGATACCATCATCAGGATCGGTCTCCGAAGTTGGTATCCCTACCGAAAGCCCTAGTCTCTGCAGCGGGGGACTGCTGGGGCCCTATGCTACACTACTATACATCGCCACTTGCCTGTATATGTCGGAGGTCTTCGCCTCACGTTTTACAGCTATCCTGAAGAAATGGCAAAATGTACGCGCGATTTTTCGGCTCGCCGCACGTAACACAACCCCGTCCCGCACTCGTCACATCCGCACGACCGTGCTCGCGCACGAACGCGATATGCACACCTGTAACTCGCGGCCTCGTCTGACAGCTGCGGGGGAACCTTAATCGCCTTTCCACGCACGGGCCGTAAGGCCGCTCCGTACTGTCGAGCGACGCTCGCCGATCTGAACGGCGGGAACGGAACGGAACGGAACGGGGGACCGAGCAAGCGGGCCCCACGACTCGCGCGAGGCGAAATCGGCCTTCTTCGAAGTCCCTCGGCTCAGTCCGTCGATTTGTTGCGCGTCGAGGACGCACCGAAAGTCACCTCAGCATATATCGATATGTACGCCGAATACCGCGAGATAATAGAGGATACCGCGCGCAAGAGCATGCAAGCGTAAAAAAGGAAAGAAAAATAAAATTGTAAGAGAAAAAGAGCGAGGGAGGGTGAAGGGGGGAGAAGGAAGGAGTAATGCTCGGAGATTTGATCGCGGAGGCCTTACGTCCGGCCCTATGGCGACCTCTCACGCTTGTTCCGAAGGCCCCTGACGTTCCCCGATCTTCTGCCCTTTCTCCCGCTTCTCCTGCCTCCGCTCTCTATCTCACCGCCACACCTTCTCGAATCCACGATCTTCTCGAAGATCGACTCGAGATCGGTCGCGACGGTAACACGTTCCGAGCTCGGGAAGAGAAAGAGAGAGGCCAGCGACTTCTAACCGGCGCTGCCGGACAGATTCCGTCCTGAATTCGTGTCTCGGGTCCCTCTCGCCTCTCTTCGAAGAAGAAAGAGAGAGGAACGGGTCTTCCCCTGCCCACCCCCTTCACGATCCTCCTTGCTCCTTTCCCTCTTTCCGACGACGTCTCTCTCGGGTTATCTACCTGTCTGCGTCTACCTTCCCCGCTGCTCGTGTTCCATTCTACCTGCATCTCTTTGAACCTTCGCTGCACTGATCGCATGGTACAGCAGCCCGAGAAAAGGGATACGAGGGTGTTCATCTTGATTTTCTCGTTTTGTGAGGTGTAAAATTTTATCGGTCTCCCTCTGTCCTTCTTTCTCGCCGCTGCACCACCAAAAACTTCCCGCGCGTCCACAGAGACTTCCAACAGAGTTTTCTTCCCTCCTCCACACCCGCGCCTTCGTATGGGCACCGCAAACTTGTTTCGTCTGATGCCAGGTACCTGCAGGTCTCCACAGTATAACGATTACTGATGGATCACTTGAAGTGGATCAGTTGCCTCATTTTGGAGATAATAATGATAACATGCCGGAAACCGATGAGAAAATTGAATTAAACGATATTTATTGCGTCGCTTTAAATGCAGATTTTTAATTGACAATTTTAATCGATCTATTTAATAAGTTACATGTCTAAAACTTATTTAACAATTATTTGCGACTTTATGTTGTCCATGCAAATATTGCTTCACCGTTTCATCACGCATGGCATTCCCTTTTCGATGAATCATACATAATTCATAAATGCCGCAAACTCTATATACCAATCTTCTCTCGTAATGATCTATTTATAGAAAGCTCTCTAGATGCTTTTACAATCTTTGGTATTTGCAAAGAATATATGTTTTCCTAATCCTGTCATCAAAAGATTTAAAAATACTAGCGTTTATCCGATTTCAAAGCGGTTACAATTGAAGAGTCTAAATGAAAAAGAGCAACAACGGTAATAAACGGTAAATAAATTATTTGACAATTTGTCAACATAAGAAAGAAAACGAGTTTATTCTCTTGAAACAGGAAGCTTGCCATTTTACAGCGGCGTGCGCGTCACAGAGGTAAGTTCAATCTAATCAAAATAACGGCTTGCAACGATTGCCGGACAATGCGCTTTAAAACTCAGAGAAATAAATTTACAATTTAATATAAATTATCTTGATTTAACCTCATCGCTGAACTATGTCGCGAGCAGAAATGCGGAGAACCGGAAGAGAGGTGCGTCGACGTCAAAGGTTGAGAAAGAGCACGCAATCGATAATGTAATTCGTACGAAGCAGCTGCTGGCAAATCCCAAGATACAATGCCTTTATTGAAATTAAAAAGTTTCAAAAATAGAAATTAATTAAAATTGCACATTAAAAATTTTGCTGCAAATATTTGTGTTTAAATGATAAGTAGTTATTTACTTGCTGCCTATCATGCAGTGACAAATTGGAATAATTTTTATTTAAAATCATAGACACGACACGAGATAGATTTTCATTGCAGTATATCTTTTTTCGAGAAAGAGGAAACTACTTGTGGGAACGGCGGAAATAATAGCTCGTTGTCAAAGAATACAATTACTCGTACCGATGTCGAAGTCATTTCACCGTGATTTGCGTGCAGAGCGAAACTCAATTTTCGATTTTACAACGCGAATAACGTTAGTGTTAGCCAAGCTCGAGCCTTGTGAATTCCTTCGGTGTGATTAAATGTCGAAGTTTTTTATCATAACACCATGAAGAGGATGTAGAAAGTTATGGTGACGTAATGTAAAATTGTAAGACCGGATAGTATTCGCGCGAGATGCTGTAAAAATGTAAAACAAAGAAAAAGGAAGAGAAAAACGTGCAAGATATCTGTAAAAAATAGAGAAAATATTTGCATCTACGTTATTCCGAAACAATATTTTTCAATAGAGTGTTATTAAAGTAGTAATATTTAAGAAATAGAATAACAATACTAGCAATGACATAAGCAAATGTAAATTTATGGACGTTTAGCTTCTGCGCTGGCAGCAAATGTACGCACGTGCGCAATCTAATGTAAAATACCATAGATTTGCAATCGACTGTTAACTTAAGAAAAATTGCGAGACAAGGAACAAGACTCACTCGCAGCCCTGACATTTCGCGGATCGCACGAGGTCGTACGACTTAATTTGCATTATTCCTGTTAGATGAGTTTGATAGTTCCTGATTTTCACTTTCTCTTATCTTAGTAACTGTTAATAAAAGAAAGTCTTGTCGTAAATTTCGAAGTTTACGCCTACAATAAAATAATAATTATCGATAAGTTACAATGCGAAATTTTGAACTAAAAAATTTTAAAAATAAGAAATTACATAGACATCATAGAAAATGTATTTTAAAAAGTGAAAGTATAAGAATGGTCATTTTATAAACGTAACAATGTGTGACTTTAAATCAAGTAAATTTGTCGGAAAATAATCTTGTCAATTTTTATGACTAAACCTGATTAATGTAATTTATCTCAAGAAATATAGGATGTTGCTTATGTAGCTTCGATGCTTCAATCGCAGATTGCAGCACTTTGCAACTATAGTAATTTCATGAAAGTCTGAATAAGATAATTTTAATATAACAATAATTTTACTACAATGCCATACAATTTATTAGTACAATATGGATAGAAAATATTATCTACTTTTAAAATAATTTTAGAAAATAATGTATAAATTCAATATAAAAAAAAATTGTATTATAATGCTAGTTAGTTTTAATATTATGTAACTGATTATGAAACATCCAATAAAAGTTACACTATAAATAATATTACTATTAATAAAACATTAATAAAAAATTCACGAATTTTACAGCCGCATATTTTTATATATTGTATATTTTAACTTTTGATGATAGAATTTAATACGATTGCAAATCAATAATATGATTCTTAACTTTTCGACCTTCTTTTAAGAAATTTTTTGGAATAAAATATTATTATAATGATTATCTTTTTTACCTCACATTGATAAACCATTGAATATCTTTTTGTTACAAAGCAAAAATGTCTTCACTTATTTTTATTTTTTATTTTAGAGAAATGTTTGATAGCAATATTACGCACGATTGTGAGGAATGCACTACAGTTAAGAAACCAATTCATGATAAAACATTAACATAAAATATTTTTGGAGAAAATAATTTTTTCTCCTTGATACAGCATTATCAAATACTATTTTGTACTAACATGAATACGATAAAAAATACGTAAAAAATGCAATAATGAAACGGATCGCTCTACTAATATTGTTAAATCGTGTTTCACGACAAAGTTGTGTGCAGCGATACTGCTCTGCGTCCTACTTAGCCTTAGCCAAAGGTTAATGCAATACTGTTGACTGTTGACTGCACTTTATTATTAAATTTTATTTTGCTTATATACAGGGTGATTCAGAACAATCTCCTGTTCTTGAAATGTCAAATTCTTGAGTAAATTCTAAGACGATTTTTCCTTTTACAAAATTTTGTCCGAAGCTTAGTTTTCCAGTTATTATTGAAAATAGGTAGCAGCGAATCCGGTACAACGGGCAAACAGGGACGCGCAACATATAATGAGACTATGGCCGGTATTCATAGTCCGTTCTTATAATTAAGAACGTCTTAAGCACGAACTTATATTCGCTCTCTTCGTCAGACACAATCTATGTGTGACGAAGAGAGCGAATATAAGTCCGTGCTTAAGACAATTTTGAATATAAGAACGAACTATGAATACCGCCCTATGAAGTGTTTACTATCGTCTCATGACACATTGCGTCATCCCTGCCTGCTCGTTGTATCGGACTCGTAAGTAGCAAACTATTTTCAATTATAACTCGAAAACTAAGCTTCCGACAAAATTTTGTAAAAGAAAAAATCGTCTCAGAATTCGCTCAAGAATATGGCATTGCAAGGACAGTAAATTGTTCTCAATCACCCTGTATATATATCCATAGGCCACATTGATATCTTCGTGGAATACATATGCAGTTATTGTATTCAAAAGATTAAAAGCATTGAACTGCATTTATATTATTTAAATGTTTATTTAATGAAGTGTATTGTTCCTTATGGTAAACAGATTTACTTATTATACAACCAGTGTAGTTCTTTATTTAGAATTATGTGATTTATTATGCAACTAGCTCATATAATTAAAAATTATAATAATTTTCTACTAGATATATACAATTGGTCCCCAAAATTTTTATTTCCATATCATATTTTCGCGTCTCTCAATGCAGCAGATAGTAAAATAAATAAGAGTTCTTACTTTTACAGGCAAATAATTGCAAATTTTTGTATTTAAAATACGTGCCATTGTTATTTCACAATTACGAAACATTAATTCTTATCAAACAATGGTTTTTATAAAAAGTAAATTTATAATGTACTTGCATAATTAATGATGCAATAATTAACATATGTCTTTTATATAAAACCAGGTTTAAAAAGAACCTACTTACTAGTGACACGTCAGTCGCACAGGCAATCGCGTCAGTTGGGTTTCAGAATCTCACTTAAATCTTATCATTAAAAATTAAAAAAAAGAAGTGCGTAAATATAAAAACGTAAAATAAAGATTATTTAAAATATCTGCAAATTTGCTGATATTGAGACTTTGTTAACCAGTAAAGTAAAATTTACTGTCGTTGGAACTGACATGGACTCTAATAAAAAAGCCA